GACTAAACTCTACCAGTAACACTAAGCAGAAATGGAGATACTGCCTCAGACAATCAATTGCCGAGTCTCTAAAGCCATAGGTCGGGTGCCGAACAAGGACTTGGGAAGACCGACTTGTCACCAATGTGGGGAAGGGCAGGAGGACATTTTGCACCTCTTACAGAGATGCCCTGCTGCCCAGAACCACAGGGTGAGAAGACACGACCGAGTTCTCCAGAAGCTTAAACAGTGGCTCCAGAGAGAAGGTTACTACATACTCTTAGAGCCGCATGTACGAAGTGGTCATACATTCGTGAAGCCTGATCTGATCCTGCAGAAAAATGGTCAATACTCGGTGCTCAACCTCTGCGTGCCCTTCAAGAGTGATATAAACACTCTTCGATTGGTGAGCAGCATAAGATCGACACATACCATGCACACGAGGCCGATATCAGGTTTATTAACAGCAACAGTATGTTGCCTTCAACAGCATCGATAAACTTCCTCGGTGTCGCCATAGGTGCACGAGGTGGCATACGACCGGCCACTAGGAAGCTGCTCAGTCAAATGGGCATCAGGCGAGCGGGCATCGAGATACTAGTTACAATGGCCATTAAGGGATCGATAAACATCCTTAAATCCCTCAGACATCAGGCAGAGGGCTAGGATGTCGCTCCACGGCCCGAATGCTGGGGCTGGGGTGTTCGCCCACACTACACGCAGAGCAGTTTAATCTCATCCCTGCCAAGGAGCTCCGATCCACCCGGGTGCTGTCGCACTTGGGACGCACATGGAGCCTGAGCCCGCAGTTGTGCTCTAATAACAAAAACACAAACAGGAGGCTAACTCCACTATTTTAAACTTTTAGGTAGGTTTTAGTCCCTTCCTGACAAGAGGGTACTCAGCGGGGCAGACCATCGCTCCGCCCCGTTACGCAACAGAAGCAGCTTCATCCATGAGCTCTTTAAAAGTGCCACCCCTGAGTCACGGGCAGTTTTCCCACACCAGCATCCGCCCTTAAAATACCTCGTATGGGGTGGGATAGGCTGCCAGCTACCTATGATGGGGCAGATAGTTGCAACCGCGACGCAGACTATCGGCAGCCCACCCTCCATCAGCAAGAAGAGCTCACTACCAGGATGGACCAAGCGGGAGGGAACTAGAGTGCACACGTCAGGAAGGGGCAGAGCGGGGAACCTGGCAATCCCTGCCAGAATTGATGTAGTTTTAGGGGCACCTTCTGTGCAATCCTGTGTTAGCAGGAAGTTTTGAAGGAATGTAGAAAAAAGCAAGAGTGTCCAGGCTGGCGGTAAGGATTCCAAGGCACTAGCAATTTTTAGGAGTAAGAATAGTCAAATGCCTCGTCATCTAATTAGCATGATACACAGAAATCTTGATGAATAATGCAATAAATAGTAAAAAAAATAAAAATAAAAAAATAAAATAGAATATATATTTGTGTACTCTCAGTGTTACCTAGTTTACCAGTTGTAAAACTACCTTAGAAAATTATAAAATCTATTTTAGTATTTTTTGTAAAAGTTAAAACCCTATTTAAAAAGCTCATTCCACAATATCAACAATAATTACTACAGTTTTGAAAGGTTCATAAAACAACAATGTTGTTTAGAGGAGCCACACTGCACAGCCATGGTTGATGGAAGTAACTAAGTGAGTAATGAAGGCTATGTAGGGGTGATGATGACCCAGGAAATATCAGCCATTCAACAAGTTCCTAACACCAGTGGTGCAGCATGAAGAAATTTCAGGGTTAAGCACTGAGGTCAAGTATCTAACAAAACTGAAAATTGAATAAGTAAATGAAGAAATAGACAAAATTATATAAAGAATATTGTCTAAATATAAACAAATCAGTGTAATAGTCTTCACAACATAACAGATAGTATCCAATTTAACCCCTACGCCCCGGGTGACGTTCCAGAATGCGCACCCTTTCCCGCCATTGTTTGAATGCCCAACCCGGGTTAACATGTACCAGCATGACTATTTTTCTCTTCAGGAACACGGAGGAGTGTGTGAGTAGGCCCAGTGCGGTCAGTAACCATTCGCCAGAGGTCATGGAGAGTAACCCCTCAACTTCTCGCACCCCCCCCCCTCCACCCCCACATCTCTTCCACCCCAACCAAGCGTCATCGCCGCGGGTTGGATGATAGAGAAATAAGGACAGAACTTTTTTATTTGAGTGCTGTAGTGGTCGATTCTGGTGAAAATGGTAATAAAGGCAGTGATTATCAGCCTAGTGACCAAGAGGATAGCATCAAGTTAGACGATGTTGTGTCAACCAGTGAGGAAGAGGAGGATGCGGGCAGTGAGGCCCAGCCAGAGCGGCGTATCCCCGCCAGGCGCTCACGACCCAGACAAGGGACAATAGATACCTTGTTTGGTCTGATGGCAGTAATTTCCAGCCTGATATCCCTGAATTCAAAAGATCATCAGGTGGAATTACTCCTGAATTTCCTTGTACAGAGGAATCACGTGAGATAGATTATTTATGTGTGTTCTTTGATGGTGAAATTATGGACACGTGTGAGGCTGACCTCGGGTCTGGCCCCTCGCCACACATGCATCGATGGAGTGATGTCGGTGTTGCCGAACTGTATGTGTTTTTTGCATTACTGATGCTGACGGCACATGTTAGAAAACATGTACTTCAGGAGTATTGGATATCTCCTGATGACATCACAGCAACTCCACTGTTTGCAAAATTCATGTTCAGAGACAGGTTTGCCTCCATCCTATGTTATCTACACTTTGTAGATAATAACATTCCTGTGACTGGTAACAGACTTTGGAAAATAAGGGAAGTTTTTACGATGCTGAAGGAACGCTTTACAAAGTTCTTCAGACCCTTTCAAACGTAGTGGTGGACGAGTCTCTGGTGCTTTTCAGAGGACGTGTTGTTTATAGACAATACATTCCCTCCGAATGACATCGCTTTGGGATCAAGTTCTTTGTACTGTGTGACTGCGATACTGGGTATGTCTTAGATCTCATTGTTTGCACAGCAAGTGACGTAGACATACCCAAGGACGACCCACATGGTTTCTCTGGCGCTGTTGTCAAGAAACTTATGGACCGCTACTTTGGAGGGAATCACGTCCTCTACACTGATAATTATTATACCTCTCCTGCCCTGGTCAAGTTCCTACTTGAACATGACATCGGTTCTTGTGAAACTGTATGCAAGAACCGGAAACACTGGCCCGTGTTTACTGGTAAACCTGCCCGAGGAGAGGTCCAGCTGAAGCAAGCAGACAAAATGCTTGCAATATGCTGGCAAGATAAGCGTACTGTGCAGATGCTGTCAACCGTTCACAAGGGTGAAATGGTTGACAGCGGAAAAAGGAACTGGACCTCAGGAGAGGTCTTGAAAAAACCTGACGCTGTCGTGGACCACAATGTCAACATGCGCCTTGTGGACAAGAGTGACATGCAGGTTGGCGCAATTGAGTGTGTAAGGAAAGGTCTCAAGTGGTACAAGAAGATGTTCCTACACCTCATAGACATCACCATCCTGAATGCATACAACCTGTACCTCGTAAAAACCGGGAATAAACCCTCTCTCAGGGTTTTTCAGAAGCAAATGATAATACAAATCCTGGAGAAATATGGCACCATCGTAGCAACTGCACCACGACGTCACAGCCAAGCAGACCTACCTGACAGACTGCTTGCACGTGACTGGGTTGTTCGTCACAACATGAACTTTTACCAACTGGTCCAGGTGGTCGTAAGGGGCAAAGGCGGTGTTGTCTGTGCAAACACCACAAAGCGCACAGCTAAGCGTAAGGATGTGACTACGTGGTGTAAGGAATGTGATGTTGGTCTCTGCAGACCTTGCTTCGTGGAGTACCACTCTAAGAAAACATTCTAAAACAATGTGGCACGTGCTTGTAAGTAGTGTAAATAGTAGTATAAGTGTATTTGTCAGGAACAAACTTATATATTTGTGGAAAAGATACAGTTGTATGCATTCACTCGTCTCAACCCACTGGTGCTAGCATACACCCAGGGTCAGGGGGGCAACACACCACCCACCCACCTAACTTATCTAAACATGGTCGGAGGGAAGCTTCTTGGTAAGTACCTTCTTTTTCGTTTATTTACCATTGTTTGTCCTTTTTATCATGTTATATCAAAGTAATATTACAAAAAGTAGTTTAGATTACTAGAAGATAATGGTATGATAATGTTATGAATGTATTTATTTGCGGAATTATTATTCCGATAATTATTTATATGACTTACTTGCTCTACCAAACACAAAGACAACCAGACAGTCTGGTGCCAAACAGTCTTTATGAAAAGTAATGCAAATAAAATAAATTCTAAATGAATTATTTATAGGAAATAAGTATTATTATCAGTAAAAATATGCATTTTTGGCCATCTCGGACACACAGGAGATGGGAAAAGGACCTCTACTGCATAGTGACTGCGAGCTTCTCCCTGAAGAAAACCCATAATTCTCCTTAATTCACTCGTCACTGAGGGACAATATATAGTTTTTCTTACGTCTTTTTCACCGTTTTATCATTTATAAAGATTAAAATTTATTTTTGGAAAAATTGATTTCCCATTCTTACCCAGGGTGGGGGGTACGGCCAGCACCACCCAAGCCCAGGGGGTAGGGGTTAAAAGAAGGCACAGTACGTACGTACTGTAGCTATGCTGTATAAATAATACATTAAATGACTTGTCAGCAACTGCATCATCGACTGATGGTGAAAAATATTAAGATGATAAATGTGTTTCTTCATATGAAACATCACCCAAAATCAAATCCAGTGCAGTACTTACAGTATATACAGTGCAGTATATAGAGTACTGTATATGCACAGTTCAGTAGCCTTACTGTTGGTGTACCACTATAAAATTAAAACTATATGTCTTAGCTGGGCCTCACAGTCTTGCACTGCATCACAACCAGTGGCACAGTTTCTCATTAAGGTTCAAGCAATATATGTTCTCATAAGTATAAAAGTATTACCGGACTGAAAGCATTTCAATTATGTTTGTTATTGGCTTAAAATCATTATATACACAAAAAACTTTTACACAAAACATGTTTTGTAGCATACCAAGGCAGATTTCCTTTCTGTGGGGTCCAGGCATCCACCGTTTTTACTCTGTAGTATACCATTTCATCAATCACGGCATTAAATTTAAAGTATCTACAGATTTGTATAGGGTCTTTATCCCTTCACGGCCTAATGTATTCCTCAGTAAGTGTGAGGAATGAATAAAAATAATACTGCACTAATAAAAAATAAATAAAAATACTGCAGTGTTATTTGGCAATCATTTCTCTCAGGAGACAGGAGTGCACTCCCCCTTCTCATGAGTGTGGGCTAACTCCCATGGCCATAAGAAATGTTTATTTTCTATGTTTTCGACCTGATGATAAGCATTTGTTTTTTTTGCACAAGCTGTATCAACAATTGTGTGTGCATGTAATAGTAAAAAAAATAAAATAACGAGTTGAAAAAGAACAATAATAATGCAACTCACCTCCTCCAGTTTCCTCCCACCTTATGATAATCCTTTCTATTATTTGTTTTCCACATTCTGTATGGATGACTGTATGTGCATGTAACGGAGTAAAAATAAATTATTAAAATTACATACTGTACATCTGCCCAAAAATAAGAGTTGAAAAATAACATGGCTTACCCTGGTATGGGGAGGGCTACAAGGACAGTCTAACTTGGCAACCTGCCAAGTCCATACACACTCTAACTTCACACACATACATACCCATGATATTAATTTTTTCTTATTTTATAGCAACATGCCATCTCCACGGATGTTGTATTGTAAAATTTACATTACTATTTAATTTATATTATGCTATTTTATATGTATTTTACTCAAATTTAATGAAATGTACAATACAGGTATTGTTTAGTGAAGGAACAAGCAACCTAGTTAGGATATGATGAGTGTTATCTGTGGCCATGGAACCTTACCCCCTATTTCTCCTAAGCCTTTAGTCTTACCAACCACGGATTTGCCACCCACGAGGATTTTCAGGAACCTAACCCCCACGGTTGGTGACGGACTACTGTATAATATGAATTATATTAGGAACAACAAAATACAACACAAATTATATAAGGAATATTTCATTATAAAGAATAATGACCATTTCCTCCCAAACTCATACCTAACTAAATGACCTCACTATTTCCATGTGTTTTAGCCTTAATGCTATTAGGTCACTTGACATTAAGTGACCTGACCACAGATCACATGAACTCCTAAGCTTGTCCACCTGAATTGCTGACTCCCTGGCAAATAATGTACAGAAAGGACGATCGTTCAGATGGGAATCATCCAAGTAGGATTACACCTGACCCAAGCCCGCCGCCACATCACTTTTCGGAACCACTTGGTTATCTCGGATTCATTTTGGGACTCGACCCAGACTGTAACTGCTCATTTCCCATAGGTGCTATCAATTTACAATTTGCAATATTTAGCATGGAAAATGGTTATAAAATGGTGGTGGTGATGATGATAATGACAGAGTGTACCTAAACATGCAGATTTGGCAGGATTACCTGTACAGGTGTATACTACATATCATGGATTTGAAATATTACCTATTGTTTTAAGCTGGTTTAGTTATCACATAAGTGAAGCAGTTGGCATTTGCTTGCACTGAGCAAAAGAATAGAGGAAAGCACCACTAATGGATGTATATGCCCTTCACTGGACAATGATTACAACAATACCAAAGGCAGCTCATCATTTCCTTTGAAAACACATGAGTAAAAAAGGTGGGAAAGGGTGATTATATAGCAGCTAACAAAATATGCCCAGCTCATGTACCTTTCTAATGAAAATACAGCATTTGTGTGACAAGAGATCCTTACCTTTAAATATTTCATGTCAGTTACCCATACCCAAAACATAAAGCATTCAAATTTAAACTTATCTAGCATAGTTTATCTGGACAAAAATAAAAAGAGACAATAAATGATACAGAAAATATTTATGACTATAATTTGCACACACAACAAGATTTGTTTAAGTGCAACTGTGTATATAATTACCTGACTTAACCATAGACCTGTTCACCTGAATTTTGGTCACTAACAAGACTTCTTTCATAGCATTCAATATCCAAACATGTAGCAATACTGTACATACATTAACACATAGAAAAAATATATATACCGGGTATATATTAATTTCATTCTTACCAGTCCTAGTGAAATGAGTCCTGAATAATTAACACAATAATGTAGCTCCTAGCAATAACATGACTCGTAATTTTTTACTTCAACACCATTACGCTCTCTACCAATAGATGCAACTTCTGCTCTGTGGATGTCATCAAGTGGAAACTGAGTGGGACTGATGGGCATCATTGGCTTGGAAGCTTTTAATTTGTGAGCAAGTGTCATGAAGATGGCCTCTACATGGTCACAGTCACTGTCGTCTTTGGCAGAAGTTTCAAAAAGCTGAAATAATGAACAAAGAGCTTATAGTAAAGTACTATACTGTGCTGTGCTGTACTGTATACATATTTTTCACCTAGTGCCTCCCAAGGGAAGATTGCCCCCCAGTTTGGGAACCACTGATTTAATGGCTTCAGATAATAAATTACAACTTTTCCTATTGTATAACCACAATACCTGTACTTACTGGCATACTGTGATGATCAGCAAACCTCTGTGCTACACTGGTTGAAACAGCCAAGTTATCTTTACAATCACATTTGTTTCCCACTAAAATTCTTGGTATATTATAACTCAAACTGTGCTGGTTGCATTCTTCAATCCATGATGGCAGAGACTGAAATAAAATAAATGGATAAGATGTGACTCACTTGTAATAATTTTTTTTTAAATAAAATAACAAATAAAAGGATATCACATCTTGTTTATAATAGTACATGTTTTCCTCAGTTTACAAAAAATTGAATTTATAAATTAAAATTGTCCCATGCTTTGATTTACAATTGAAAACCCCCAAGTTACAAATTATTTTTCTTTATTTTCATCATTTTGTCCTCCATAATAATTAATACGTACGTATACAAAAATAAAGCATTTTTTACTACCAGTTTGTTTACTTATTTCACTAATTTAATTTTTCTCTACAAGTAGCAAGAAATTTAGTCTGCAAATAAGCTTTCAATATGTCATCATTCTCCTATAGTGACGAAGACAAGTATACTGGTCTCAACCATACACAGACATTCAGTCAGTAAACTGATTGTCTAGTTTCTCCTCATTTATGCTCATGTAATACTGAGTGGAATATTAAATACTGTACAGGGTACAGTACTCAGAATGAAAATTACTGTATTCTGTGTAGCAGCGACGAGGAACAAGAGTTGGCGGATCAAGAAGTTCACGTCAAACGGTTTTGGAAGAAATTTAACGTCAAGAAAGCTGTTGATTTCTTGGTGGAGGCATGGGGGCAGCTGCCTGTGGCAACGATTCGTCACGCATGGCGGCATGTGTTGCAAGGTATCCCAGGTGGGAGGCAGAGTCAACCTGTGACTGGTGAGGTTCAGACTGTTGCAGTAGCAGTGGACCTTGCCAGAGAAGCTGCGCAGTGTGTTACAGCTGCAGGCTTCTCCGAGACCACCAACGACGACATCCTGGAGGTGATAAGGGATCCTAATGTGACTACCGACGAGATGGTAGATGATGACGACGTCAGTGAAGAGGCAGGTGGTGCGTCATCCCAAGAAGAACGTCGCTTATCCCATAGTAATGTAAAGGGTGCCATCAAGTGTATTGAGAAAGTCAAGCTCCTCCTTTCCGACGACCCTGACGCTAACAGGTATGAAATCTTCACTACCCAGCTGTTGCAGACCATGGAGCCCTACATCAAGGTTTATCACGACAACATAAACACCAGCCGTCAGCAAAGCATAACAGAATTCTCCGCCCGCAACCCACCACAGCCAGCCCAAGCCAGTGATAGTGACAGAGGCAGAGACAGTGATGATGACTTTGAGGGATTTGTCAGGAAGGCACTAGTAAGTGTGGATGACACCGATGAAGACTCATCTGAGGGCCAGTAGCCTGCCTCTGCCTCGGAACCAGCCTCCATTCCCCTACGCCGACCCATCTCTTCTACTAACGTAAGTGTTAACCCCAACCTTGTTTTTTTCTAACCTAACCTTCAGTTTATTATTCTCTTATTGATTGTTCCCTTCTATATTATGTGTGTGTGAATACCATCATAAAGTTAAGATGTTATTTTTAGTAAAACGTACGTATTGTGTCGGGAAAAAGTGAGTTTGGGGGTCGGCCCTGTCTCCATTTCAATTAATCCCATATGTTATGTTGTTCACTTTACGCGTTGCTCACGTTACGCGGGCCGCCGTGGGTTCAATTAACCGTGTAAAGTGAGGGTTCACTGTACACAAGTAATCATGTTTACCCCCACCCCCCCCATCGAGGTGAGCAAAATGTTATTCGCGGATTTGGCGATTCGCGGCCATTTTGAGAACCTAATACCCGCGAATTTGAAGGGCATGCTGTCTTGTATTATTTGTGTCAATGTTTACATCCTTGTCGTGAGTAATAGACAACCTGGCAACTCTGTGAGGTTAGTTGGTCGGTTTACCAGTAGCAGTCACTCACTCCCTACCCTGGCTTCTTGACATGCTGTAGTGCCGGCTCTGACCTGTGCTGTATACGCGTATCCAATGTCTCTGAGTGTTTTGCGTTTGTGCAACTGAGTGGTCACCTCACAGCTATGTTTACTTTATGTACTCTATATGGATTAGGATTATAATTATAATGTATATTGTGATAGGTAACACTTATTCCATGTGTTAATTGTAGGATTAGAGGCTCTTGTCTTTTTGTCCCTGGTGTTGTTTCTCAGTTGTAGTTGATGTACTTTCATTTTCACCTTTCTGTGTAGTGTAAATATGTTTAATACTTAATATATTACAGCAGCTTCTAGTGTATTATGAATGTTTTCATTCCCTGTTTATCTTCCTTTGTGTTTTCATGTTGTGGAACATTATAATACAGGGTGTAACCCCAAGACAAGTAATGTCCCATAACAGTATACTATTGGGAACTTTAAAGATGATATAAATGTTATTAATCAAGAATTTGAAGACCCTTTTCAACCCACCTCAAGCCTAGTGATGAACATCAGCAAAAACATTGACACCCTCACCCTCCATATTTTTATCCTTGGATTTGTGCGATTCACGTCAGTCGACCCAAACGTTCCAAAAAAAGCCAGAAATCCAGCAAAAAATGAAAAATCACACCCCTGATCCACTTATATGACACATGATTAATATGTGGAATAATCCACTTAAATAAAGTCACTTAATTATAAGAACAATTCATCTCTGACAATACTCGTTGCAGAATTAGTAGATATAACCTGTAATATTTGGTTATTTGATCGCTAACATGAAATATGACAAGTACACAAACAATTCAATAATTGGAGTGGACTATTTACTGGAATTTGTTCCTAAAGGTTTCATTATTTACCTATTGTACAGTCCAGCATTAATTTATGGTAAGATTGCTGTCAAAATAGCAATATTTTGAAGTTAAACTGAATTCACATAAAATTCCAGGTTTATTTGTAAAATTCCCTGGCTTTTCTAGGTTTTCCAGACCAGTAGACACCCTAGTATTATTAAATTTATGTACAATAAGGATGTTGAGTTGAAAGAGAAGGTGTGTGACATTTGGAAGTGAAGAAAGGTTTGGAAGTGTGGAGAATGTTGGTAGTTCACAAGGGAAGACGAGTGAAATCAGCTGAGACAAGTCAGACACCCGGACAGCTGGCTGGTATACCAACATTTTCCGCATTTTTGCATTGACTTTATCTCCAATGGTTTTAAAGCACTGCTTTTTAAACATTTGAAGCCAGCCCATAGTGAAATCACAAGTGTTAAGGAATCTTCAATTCTTTACTGACTGTACTTTGTACATTTTTTGTAGAATCTGCACTTTTTACTTTTACTGTTAGCACATTACATTTCCTTTCAGCACTTTAAAACTCAGTTCTATCACATAAATAACGAGAAAGCAGGTAAGCATTGAAATGCTAAATACAAATACAGTACCATAATATTGTATAAAAGCAAAGTAAAATTCAAACAAGGAAACAATACTCCCTGATGCCTGAACCAGCGTCGGCCTTAGCTTATGAGGTCATATAAACAAAACAGTAGGAATTTAGGATGACACAATAACACATCAGGGGTCAAGCGAGGAATCTTTTTTCTTTTTTTCATAAAGAAGGAGTCAATGTATTATTATGGTAATATAATTATTATTGATGCTGGGAAATATGTGCTTTTCACCTTTTATTGTACTGACATGCACAGCTATGAACTAAGTTAGACTGTATTGAGCAAACTGAATAAATATTTGAATATGGGGATCTCAAAATAGGCACTCATAGGGTGCTTACTATTCATTCAACATAATTCATCTCCCTAAACATATGATATTTTGACCTTGTGCTTCTCTTGAGGGAGAAGCTCTGAAAAACAGAGGGGAAGGCATCTAGTGGCAGAACCTTTTGGTCTAGGCAATATCACACCTGAAATGTGGAAATCTAGTGGACTCAAGTTATTTTCTAAAAATTTACTCAAGCCACACAATTCAAGTTTTCTCTTTTGTTTTCTGCTAGTCATTTATACCTGCATTTCATAAACATAACTGGAATGCATATATCACTAAAATTATACACTGAACATCAAACAGGCATAAATATCCAGGAAGCAGCATTGCATGTGAAGGAGAGACCATGGCAATGAGTGAATTTTGGGAAGGGATATACCACTTATAAGTGATGCTGGCTTATGCAAAGCAACAAGGGTACACCAAATTTGAGGGCAGGTAATGGAAAGGGTATGCCATAGCAGAACACACAAACTGTATTAAACCAGAAAGAATGAGGGTAAGAAAACAAAAGAACATAAAATGTGTGACTGTGTATTTGCTCGTTTCCAGTCACCCCGCATTAGGTAGAAAAGTTTAAAACAGTCAAAACGAAAATAAAAACCTGTGCCTTACCTGAAATGAAGACATTCTGGTGACATCATATACAAACACAACAGCATTCACATTACGGTAATAGTGTTGAACCATTGATCGCCTGAATCTCTCCTGTCCAGCAGTATCCCAGAGCTGTAGCTGTTAACAAACACACTTTAAGTGGTGCATTCAAAGCATTCTAAAGAGGAAGCACATAAAAAACAAGAAGATTGGCCCTGAATTTCCATTTAATAACTGATTCAGGACTAGGCAACTCCATATGGTCAGCAAGTTGAAAACTGTTGTCCCATGCCCCAAAACTGGGATATAAAAATTAAATAATTTCAATAACTAGGTTACCCTTCACCTTCACAGCAAGATCCAAAAAGGATATCCACTTAGCAATAAATTACCCTGAATAGGAGAAGGTTACATGATTTTGCTGGAAGCATAACATTAGATATTTCAATCAAATTACAGTGGTCCCTCGGTTAACGAGCGCCTCGGTTAACGAGATTTCGGTTAATGATTTACCTTCCATAAGATTCTTAACTTCGGTTAATGAGCAATCCCTCAATTAACGAGTTTTTTACAAGCCGACTTCAACATGTTTTCGCTTGCATTTGGCGGTCCACCAGCTGTAGTATTAGTCCGCCAATACAGTAATCGGTTTTAGGGCTTAAATTCCTTACTATTTTAGTAAATATCAAGAAGTTTATACTATTCAATAATTTTAAAAGTTTAATATTAATTTTTTTAGTCATTTTAACAATTATTGAACATAATTGAAGGTAAAGAAACTAGTTTCTGGCGTGCCATCCAGCCTGTTAACACACCAGACAGGCGTTAGTCTCTCTCTCTTTTCAGTGGAGGTAACATCTTGCTTGAGACGCTCTTCAACTAAATGCTTTTTTCTGTGTTTCCAAGCAAATTATTGGTCATTTTGAAATATATTTTACATATTGACAATATATAATGCAGTGCAGTGTTGATTTAAAGAAAATAATCTTGAAATACACCAAGAGAACTAAAATTTTATGGGTGAAATGGTGCCATGGGGTGACTTCTCTTCCACACCAATGCCTTCTCTTCTTCCTTCTCCTCCACCCCCATTCTAATTCCCATCATCATCCAGGAGCCTTCTACATACACACCTCAAAGTAAGTGTACTTTTCTACCTTTTTTGTTGAATTTAGGCAATTTTCGGTGAGCTGGAACCAATTACCCAAAAACCCATTGAAACAATGGTTTCGGTTAACGAGTTTTTCGGTTAACGAGCAACCTGCTGGAACGGATTGTGCTCGTTTACCGAGGGACCACTGTACTTGTTGATAACAATTACAATGATAAACTGTGCCATTAGAGCTGTGATGTCACACCATAAGGCCATGCTTTATGTTCAGGATGGAAAATATCATAAAAATAAAAATATGAAAAATTTCCTCAAATTGCTGGTCAACGTGTACTGTACTTCATTCTAACACCCACATATTTCAAATGTTTCACTCATTTCCCATTTACTCTTCCTGTTGCCCTGCTGTTTGTATAGAACAGCATATAACATCCGTCCTATCTCATACATGTGTAATACCTCCCACAATTTATTTCTGTTCACCCTATCATATGCCTTTTTTATTCTACTATCTGCATACAGGTAATACCCCGCTTTACGCAGCTCCCGTTTACGCGTTTCTACATTTACGCGGTACCCAGCCAGAACCGGAATTCCCACTTTACGTGGTGCATCTACTCATATACGCGGGAAGCGGCGCGGGCATGGTGCGCACAAGGTCGCCCAGTCATCAAAACATTACCGAGTTCTTCACCCACCACCCACCACAGCCGGCCCAAGTCAGTGATAGTGAGGATATGGACTTATATTGACTTTGAGGGGTTTGACAAAGAGGCCCTGCAAGCCTCTGTGGTGGACAGTGATACAATTGATACAAGTGATACAGGTGAGGGCCAATAATCTGCCCTCTGCCTCGGAACCAACCCCCCATCCCCGTGTGCCCAACCATCTTTTCTACTAATGTAAGTGTTAAAAAACCTAATATTATTGATATTTCTTTTAATTATTGTCTGTGCATACCATCATAAAATTAAGATGTTATTTTTATTACAACGTAGGTATTGTGTCTGAAAAAGTGGAGTTTGGGGGTCGGCCCAGTCTCTATTTCAATTAATCCCATATGTTCTGTTGTTCCATTTACGCGTGCCTCCGTGGGTGCAATTGACCGCGTAAAGCGGTGTATTACTGCAACTAAATCATTAAAACCATCTGTAAATAATAAAAAATAAGAAAAAGTTTATCAAAACCAATAAAAAAGGTGTAGATAAAAAATATACAGTAGTACCCCGCTTAACGCGGTCAATTGAACCCACAGGGTACCGTGTTAAGTGAAAACCGCGTTAAGTGAACAACAGAACATATGGGATTAATTCCAATAGAAACTGGCCGGACCCACAAACTCTACTTTTTCCGACACAATACCTATGTTCTAGTAAAAATAACATCTTAATTTTATGATGGTACATGCACACAATTAATACTTAAGAGAAATAGAGAAATACAGTCACCAAGTTAATGTCCATTCAAATAATGAACTCAACTCCCTCCCCCTCTTCTCACACTACACTCGCTGGCTCTTCCCTCTCTGAGAAATTTTGGGGGGAAAACCACTAAATTTTAATAAATAATACCTCAAACTAAAGTTAGGATAATATAATTGACATTGCTGGATTCCTTGTAAGACCAGGAATATTTTGAATATAAATGTCATATTTTGCACAAAAGATAACATATTTACTCAGAGTAAACATTATATCTAAAATTTGTATGTCTAATGCAAAATCTATGATGTTTATATTCAAAATGATCATCAAATTGTAAGAATTCCAGCAATGTAAATTATATTCTGGCCGGGTAATTTGTATGAATTTTATGAGCTAAAACAAATATCTTCAGTTAATAAAAAAAAAAATATTCTTCACGACACTATCTGTCAATCAAAGTACCCCACCTTGCCTCCCCTGCTCTTCCAACCGCGCCAGGTGGTCGGCCCGTCCCAACCCTCCCCCCACCAATCCTCCCTTCAAGAGATGTTGGGTGAAAAAACTAAATTTTAACATTTAGTATTAAATAATACCTCAGATTAAAGTTAGGATAATATAATTGACATGGTTGGATTCCTTGTAAGACCAGGAATATTTTGAATATAAAGGTCATATATTTTGCACAAAAGATAACATATTTACTCAGAGTAAACATTATATCTAAAATTTGTATGTCTAATGCAAAATCTATTATGCTTATATTCATAATGATCATCAAATTGTAAGAATTCCAGCAATGTAAATTATATTCTGACCGGGAAATTTGTATGAATTTTATGAGCTAAAACAAATATCTTCAGTTAATAAAAAAAAAATATTCTTCACACCGTAACAGATGGTCGGTCGGTCACCATAGACAACAAACTAAATTGGAAACCACACGTCAGTGAAGTTATCAAATCCTCCAGTTTCCGTCTCCACCTCCTCCGCCGACTCAAGTCCCTCGGAGTTCCTGCACACGAGCTCCTCAGTGTTTACACAACATTCATACTTCCCAAGCTCACCTATGCCTCCCCCACCTGGTCTTCCTCCCTAAATGCCACACAACGTAAACACCTAGAAAAAGTGCAAAAGAGGGCATGCAAGATTATTCTCTCCCCTTCCTACTCCACATATCAAGAAGCGCTCAACACACTGACCCTTTCGACTCTCACTGACCATCACCACGACCTCATCTGCAAATTTGGTAAGAAGCTTCTACACCATCCCCGACACCGGCTCCTACTACCACCTGAGATCCCTTGTCCGAGAATTGCTGTTCGACACCACAACCGCATCCAGCCCATACGTGCACGAACTGATCGCTATAAGAACAGCCCAGTCCCAACCATTGTAAAAATTATCAATAACTTGTAATAAATCAGTGTATTCACTCCCAGTATACACTGCTCCTTACACTGTCACTATGTTGAAATGAACTGTAGTTTGAGCTTTTCCACATCAAGTTATTATATGTCTTATTTGTGTCACTTATGTAACTTGTATATTATTTGTAATTCGTAACCCATTCCCCAAATATGTAACTGTATATTTTCAGCCTTCTGGCTGCCAAGCTATTTCAATAAACCGTTAATTATTATTATTATTATTATTTATTATAGATGTGTGGGAAAACCAGAATATTTACCTTTTTAGTAATAAATAATACCTCAAACTAAAGTTAGGGTAATATAATTGACATTGCTGGATTCCTTGTAAGACCAGGAATATTTTGAATACAAATGTCATATATTTTGCACAAAAAATAACATATTTACTCAGAGTAAACATTATATCTAGAATTTGTATGTCTAATGCAAAATCTATGAAGTTTATATTCAAAATGATCATCATATTGTACGAATTCCAGCAATGTAAATTATATTCTGGCCGGGTAATTTGTATGAATTTTATGAGCTAAAACAGGCAGGCAGGCAGGTGGGTGGCGGGTGGGGCGAATCTAAAAATAGCGTCTCGAGCCAGACACTCTGCGCGTATACGTGGAAAAAACCCGTGTTAAGTGAAAGTTCGGCTCTGGCGAGGCACCGAGTATATGTGAAATCGCGCTAAGCGAAACTGCGTTAAGCGGGGTATTACTGTATTATTTTTGTTTGGTTTAAATCAGCCAACCCTGCTCTGTGGCTTCTCCACTAACCCCTTCACTACAGGGACACCACTTTTAATATTTTATTTGGCTAACACCAGATGATTATTGTTATCGCCACGTGTCGGCCACATGTTGAGTGAAGAAACTGTTTACAACTCAGGATAGCTTACTGAGCGAGATGGAGCTGGTAGCAACTGTGTGACTGCCTGAGGAGCAGGCTCACCTTCTACCGTAGAGACAACATCTTGAATTTTCGTTTAGCGAACATCTACCGGGAGGATATTTATATTTGTTCTCGTTGGTCAGTCCCTAGATCCCAAAACGTGAGTGTGATTATGAACTATTAAATCCTCTATTAAATAACTATTAAATCACTTTAATAAGTATATTTATGTACTGTATATTGATCATATTATACAAACTGTGTCCTGATGTATCAACAGTTGTAACATGCGAGTTATTTTTAAGAGGTTAATAGGTTATGTACTGTATACTGATCGTACTATTCAAATTGTGTGTTCTGATATACCAGCATTTGTTATATGTGAATTGTTCTTTAACAGGTTTTGACCGAATTATACTCATCGAGTCAACGACAAGGGTCTTATTGTCCTGCACACACCAAAATCGCTCCTATGAGCGGTTAAAATTATTTTATTCATCTCAGAGGGCAGCCCATACACAAGGGGTTAGACCTTCCAAGGCCACTTTAAAAGATCAAGACCATGTTTCATAATTTCCTAGTGATCCAACCACTAGAATATCTAAATTTTTTCTGGGCACACTTGATACAATTACCCCTATGTCGTCCTTCAGGGGACAGGTTAGAGAGGAGTGGGCAAGATACTGCCCGCGGGCCAAATTTTGCCCGCCAGATTATTTCTGTGGCAATGGAGAAATTTTTATCAATAATAAAAGAGACAAGCAAAGAAGTGATGTGCAGTATTTATTTACCCAAAATATCTATACATGTTACTTAATATTTTCCTTACATCCTATATTCACAAACACAAGGCTTTACTTTGTGCAAATATTATGCATTTGCATCTATATTAAGTCTGGCCCGCAAAGTGTTCCACCATTGCCCACCCCTGGGTTAGAGGAATCCAGATTATTATTTTTTTTTTTAAACTGGGTTATGTCAACTGGGGGGTTTAACGAAAACAACATCTAGTCAGGAACAACACAACATTGTACAATCAAACTACCTTTATATCACTAACCACTATAGAATCTAGAGATAAATTTCTTTAAATCTGACAAAAACCAGAACAAATCAAATTCCATCTGTCCAACATCAGCTGCATCTAGACTCAGAGCCATCTATGTGTTAATAATAAAGCAGACTAAAGGTTTAAGCCATCCACCAACTACCCTGATTGCACCCAGGGCATACAACAGCTGCTAGACTGAAAATGGGCTCTCTTTTTCCTGAAATTTGTGACTCATTAAAAGCAATTGAAATAGAGGGACAAAGCTCTAGGTTCCATTCTAAGGGGTGTGTTACCTGAGTAATGGACCTTAGACCAATCCCCATTTGGAAATTAAATAACTATGGTGTGGGATAGAAGATTTACTTTCAGAAATTAGAATAAATCACCATAAAACCTAAACTTGCTTTCACTATACAACACAGTCTTGATTAGTTGCATATCAAGTCCTCACTATTACCTGAGGACCCTAATTGATGATAGATCTTGCAAGTCACTCACTTAACCTATAGCTCAATTCATCCATCCAGGCACAGGTCACTGACCCACATCTGGCCCTGGGGGGTAATAATAATAATAATAATAATAATAATAATAATAATAATAATAATAATAATAATAATAATAATAATAATAATAATAATAATAATAATAATAATAATAATAATAATAATAATAATAAAATAAAATTAATGAAATAATAATGATACCTGTAATAGTAATAATAATAAAGACATAAAAAAAAAAGAGATCAAGAGTGAGAAACAATATATGTATGTTGTGTTGTCAAAGTAAGAGAAACAATTGAGACCCTGCAATTGGGTGTAAATGAGGCAGAAAGTCAGATCAGCAACCTGGAACCTGGACACTATTTTTGTTGTGCCATATGGCAGAAGGGTCTACCATTAGACAACGTATTATGCTTCCAATATCTTCTCAGGTGGTAGTACTTCCCTGTTTGGTAGCTGCCTACTGCCTACTACCTGTAGGTATTCCTTCAAAATCATTTTATATACCCTGCCTATTTTAATACAGTGGTCCCTCGGTTAACGAGCACAATCCGTTCTAGAAGGTTGCTCGTTAACCGAAAAACTCATTAACCGAAACCATTGTTTCAATGGGTTTTGGGGTAATTGGTTCCAGCTCACCAAAAATTGCCTAAATTCAACAAAAAAGGTAGAAAAGTACACTTACTTTGGGGTGTGTATGTAGAAGGCTCCTGGATGATGATGATGATGATGATGATGATGATGATGATGATGGGAATTAGAATGGGGGTGGAGGAAAAGAGAAGGCATTGGGGTGGAAGAGAAGTCACCCCATGGCGCAATTTCACCCATAAAATTTTAGTTCTCTTGGTGTAATTCAAGATTATTTTCTTTAAATCAACACTGCACTGCATTATATATTGTCAATATGTAAAATAAATTTCAAAATGACCAATAATTTTCTTGTAAACACAGAAAAAAAGCATTTAGTTGAAGAGAGTCTCAAGCAAGATGTTACCTCCACTGAAAAGACACAAAGACTGACGCCTGTATGGTGTGTTGGCAGGCTGGATGGCATGTTCGATAATTGTTAAAATTACTAAAAAATTTAATATTAAACTTTTAAAATTATTGAATAGTATAAACTTCTTGATATTTACTAAAATGGTAAGGAATTTAAACCCTAGAACCGATTACTGTACTAACGGACTAAATACTACAGCTGGTGGACCGCCAAATGCAAGCGAAAACATGTTCAGGTCAGCTCGTAAGAAACTCATTAATTGAGGGATTGCTCGTTAACCGAAGTTAAGAATCTTATGGAAGGTAACTCGTTAACCGAGGCGCTCGTTAACCAAGGGACCACTGTACATCAAAACAATCTAACAAATAAAAACATACCAAGTAATTGTAATTACTGTATATAAAACATTCCACTTTATGAAATACAAGCTATGTCATAGATCCTAAGACACATGACTGAGGAAAGAAATGTACAGTAATTGTATACTGTATATAAACACTCACCACAATATCCTCATGATCAATGTTTACTCTCTTCTCCCTGAAATCTACACCAATTGTGGCTTCAGTCCTTTCAGGAAAGTGACCCCCACAAAATCTGAAGATAAATATATTTTTGAAAATGAAGCACTGAAGTATGAAATCCTACTTTATGAATGATGGGAAGTAAGATATGGTAGAATAATGTTTTACTGCAACTAGCACTTCTTATCCAACTAAATCGGGATCTTGAAACAAACCCCTCAACAGACTCATGAAATCTACTTGTTAATAAATGGATAATTATCATGTATTGCTCTCATTCAGCCATTGGTAGGTGTAACATAATAAAAATATAATTCCAAGATGTAACAATGATAATATAGCTCCAGGATGTAACAATGGTAATATAACTCAGAGGTGGCATGGCACATTAATATAATATTACTCCAAGGCTTAATGTAGTGATAATATAACTCTAAGGTGCAAATAATGAAACTATAACTGTCAGGTGCAAATAATGATAATATTATACAGTAAAAGTCCAAAAATCCAGATGCCAGAAATCTGGACCACCCGAGAATCCGGACTTTTCGAAAACTCACTTTTTTTTTATTATTTAGCTGGCTTTTGTGTGTATGTGCGCATGCGTGAGCGCCACAGCTGCACAGCGATAACAAGCGACCACACGGTCGCCACTTTAAAACGAGCAATCAAACTGTGACAACCTAAGGTAATTTTGAGTCCTACTCTTTCCATTTACAGAGTACTGTACAAGCCCATAATAATGGCTCCTAAAGTAGATAAACTTCGTTGTGTGAAGAGAAAGAAGCACAAGTTGAAATTGAGTGACAAACTTTAAATAATTAAGAAACTAGAACGTGGTGTGAGCAATACTGTTCTAATGGAAACATACGACATTGGAAAGTCTACAATTTATGATATAAAAAAGGCAAAGAATAAAATTCTAGAATTCACAGCTTTTTCTTTAAAACTGCTCGTTGTGATAAATGAAGCATGCTCTATTTGCTAATGAATAAACTATCAAAATGTACCTGTTCATCTCTTTTTTATTCATCCGGATTTTTGGACTTCTACTGTAACTACAGTATAGTCTGGGTTTATGCGTATATTTTATACGCGATTTGCCATTTACGCGGCACCACTCCAGACGCGGCAATTATTATTTACGCGGTAAATGCCATCATATACGCGCCAAGCGGCGGGCAAGGTGCTGGGCGCTGACGTCACCGCAGACGTCAGACTCGTGACGATGACGCCGAGGACTGTGATTGGGCCACGTATCCTTACCACCTTGCTTGCCCTACCACCAGAGCTAATTTACCTTGGCCACGCCAGTCTCACTGTCCCCGTATATACTCGCTCGTACCCAGGAGCCGGTTTTGTTTTTTTCTTTCTACACAATGGCTTCCGCTGGACCCCCACCACCCGAGAAGCCCTGAACTACCTGGCCCAAGCCGCCCTAAGCCCAAGAAGGTGCGACGCGCCTTAAGCTATGAGGTTAAGTACAAGATCGTTCAGGAGTTAGGAAAAGGCACGAGGCAGGTGGATCTGGCCAGACAATATGGAGTGAATGAATCGACAATCCGCACGATCAAGGAGGATGCCGGCAAAATCAATGAACACATAAACATTACCAAGTCTGTAGGTGCCTTGCTGGTGAAATATTGCCACAATAAGGTGCTGCTGAAGACCGAGGGTTTGTTGGTTAACTACATTATTCGTCAGTCAAGAAGGAACATGGTGGTCGACACTCGGGCAGTGGCAAGAAAAATGGGAGTTGAAAGAGCCCAAGCCCTTCACTGCTTCCGCTGGGTGGCTGCAAGGTTTTAAACGACGCAACAAGATCACGAATATTGGGATAGTAGGAGAAGGAGCAAGTGCCGACCGGGCTGCCTCCATGAATTTTCCCCCATTTTCACGGAAAATTATGGAGGAAGGACAGTACACCAATGACCAAGTGTTCAATATGGATGAATCAGGGTTGTACTGCAAGAAATTGCCATCCAAGAACCTTCGTAGTCAAGTCTGCGAGCAAGTGTCGGGGGCGCAAAATGCAGAAGGAGCGCATCACCATACTGTTCACCACCAATGCCTCCGGCATCGCTAAGCTGAAGTTGTCTGTGATCCACAAGGCCCGCAAGCCTACAAGAATATGGACATGAGCAAGTTAAATTTCCACTGGCTAACCTCAGGGAAGGCGTGGATGTTCTCTGGTCTGTCCCTCTCCTGGTTTGACAACTGTCTCATTCCTGATGTCAAGAAATTCTGCGTGCAAAATAATGTGCCATTCAACATTTTGTTGCTCCTCGACAACGCACCAGGACACTCGCCCCGTTTGCTGGATAGTCACCCCAACATAAAAGTGGTCTTCCTTCCTGCTAACACTACGTCGTTAATCCAGCCCATGGATCAGGAGTTGATTTGCAACGTGAAGGCTGCTTTCTCCGCCAAGAAGTTTCGGTTCCTGAACGACTTCACCAACACCAAGGATGAACTGCAGAACCTAGAGAGTGGCACCCATAGCGAGAGCGAGGACAAGGATCACGAACAAGATTTGGCGGACCATGAAGTGCGAATCAAGCAGTTCTGGAAACTGTTTAACGTGAAGAAGGCTGTTGATTTCTTGATGGAGGCATGGGGGCAGCTATCTGTGGCAACGATTCATCACGCGTAGCGTCATGTGTTGGAGGGTATCCCAGGTGGGAGGCAGAGGCAAGCGGTGGCTGGCGAGGCTCAGTCTGTTGCTGTGGCATTGGACAATGCAAGAGAGGCTGCACAAGGCGTTAGAGCTGCAGGCCTCTCCGAGAACTCCGATGAGGACATCCTGGAGGTAATCAGGCAACCTGAGGTAACTGCGGACGAGATGTTGGAAGATGATGACGTCAGTGAGCAGCCAGGTGTTACAGAACAACAAGAGCAGAAACTAACACATGATGATGTGAAGGAGGTCATCGAGTTAGCTGAGAGAATTAAGTTCATCCATGCCAAAGAGACAGGCAATCATCGCTACGAAGTGTCAAATAACCATCTGTTGAAATTCCTGGAGCCCTATGTTCAACAGTATCACGACCACATCGATGCTAGCCGTCAACAAAGCATCACCGAGTTCTTCACCCGCCAACCACAACAGCCAGCCCAAGTCAGTGATCGTGAGGATATGGACTTCAAGGGGTTTGACGAGGAGGCCCTGCTAGCCTCTGTGGTGGATAGAGATACAGGTGATAGAGGTGAGGGCCAATAATCTGCCCTCTGCCTCGGAACCAACCCCCCATCCCCGTGTGCCCAGCCATCTCTTCTACTAACGCAAGTGTTAAAAAACCTAATATTATTGATATTTCTCTTACATATTAATTGTGTGTGCATACCATCATAAAATTAAGATGTTATTTTTACTACAATGTAAGTATTGTGTCGGCGATAGCCAAAAAAAAGGGTAGCCTGGCGGTCGGCCCAGTCTCTATTTCAATTAATCCCATATGTTCTGTTATTTTATTTACGCGTTCTGCTTTATACACGGACCTCCATAGGTTTAATTAACGGCGTAAACTCAGACTATACTGTACATGAAGTAACATAAAAATAATATAACTGCACGATGTAACATAATAATACAGTACAGAACATTACTATAACTCCAAGGTATAAGAAAAGGATATAACGGTTACATATTGTACTTGTACTTAATCACTTATGAATATCACTGTAAATAAAAAAAGTCATGTAGAATTAGTATGAAATATTTATAGTTCAGTGATGAGGCTCAATCAATGAGTACCATTCTCTCCTCCATTTTCAAAGTGCAATTTTAATCAACTAAATTACTAGTGAGTTTTAAAATACATATTTAACTAACAGAGAAAATATAAAAAATACTTTAATTCTAAAAACTAGTTAATCTTATCCCACAGCTGGATCAAATAAAAAGGTGTTAACCTTTTTGTTGTGAAAAGTAGGTGTTTTTACATGCTGTGCATGCATGCTGATGAGTGGAGCATAGATAAGATCCTTAATATTTCTTTAAAAAAATACTGTACGTATATCTAATCATACATATAACATATAGAGTAATAAATAAAGGTATTGTATTTGTCATCGCTGTCCTACATATAATTATCGAGTGATACAACTACAGGTATCCCTCGTTTAATGCTGGGGCTGCCTTCCTGAAAACATAACATTCAGTGAAATTATCACTAAACAAGGGATATCTGCAAAGCACGGAGGACAAACATCAGGTTTAAAAAGCAGGGTGGTAAACACTAAGGGCATCATTAATCCTTAATACAGTAGAATCCCAGTTATCCGGCACCTACAGGGATTGAGAGGTGCAGGATAGTTTTTCTGGCTAGTTGAAACTCACTCTCAGGATCCCCCAATAAATCCTACAATACACAGTGCTACAGGCTGATCTTGCAAATTCATTTCTCAGAAAAAATTACTTCTTTTTAACACTTATTCCATTCTATATTAATGATGTGGCATAGAAATAAAAAAAATACACTGTAATATAACACTAAAAAATAAGAACATGGGTGTATATGTGGAAGAAGTTAACATGTGTGGAGGTGGTGAGCCATAACTACGTCATCTGGTTGACTGCCTGAACTATGTTGCATCACCCTGACTCACCCATACCTGTAGGTTGGTTTGAGTTTGGAAGAATATTTTTTTTCTACATAAAATATGCACTATTGGATTTTATGATATACTATGTATTGATTATATTATTTATCATAGCAATAAATATGGCAGCTCATCTCACTGCACACAGTATTCAAACTTACAATTATAGCGGATATGGGGGGAATTTTTATTATTATTATTTCATTCTGGTGTCGGTTAGTTGAATCTACTGGTTGCCCAGATACCGGATAATGGGATTCTACTGTAATAATAATAATAAACGAGTTTGTTACAAATGGTTCCTAAAATGATAAATTTAAGAACACCAAACTTCTATATAAACGATGTGATTCAGAGTTAAACGATTTAGTGAGCAAAAAATATTGAATTGCATGTCAAAATTTATCGAAAATTGCTATGATAAACAATAAAATTAACACATAGCATATTATAAAATACAATAACACATTTTATGTACAAAAAATAGCTCCTTCCATACTCAAACCAACCTTTGGGTGACATGACACAGTTCAGCCAGGCAGTCACCCAGCTGACTCAGATGTGTGGCTACTGCTGTGCTAGGCTCTGTGTACTGTACAGTCTTTCACATCCCCATTTTTATAATGTTGAACTCATTCAAAGTCAGACAAGAATGCAGCCTTCATAGCCTAAATGGGTATTAAGTACATATACAGGGTAATTATCATAAAATTCAAAACATAATATTTCAACACAGCTAATAACCTGCTGATGGTTATTTTTTAAAAATTTGCATTCAAAGATGAGACATTGGTGATAAATCTGTGTACAGTATTTACACTCACAATTATTCACAATACTGTAATCTAAAATTGTCAACAACCTTACCTAAAAGTTAGACACGTCTTTCCTACACTGCTGTCTCCGATGACAATAATTTTGAAAGTTTTCTGTCTTCTATCCCTCAGCAGTGCACCACTCTGTGCAAATGTCTGAGTGCTAGTGCCATTCATCTTATGCTTTTATCCCTGAAAAATATTATATAAAAATGATCATTAAATACATTTTGCACATACAGTATAAGCTATAGACTTACAGTACAGTACTGGAGTTAACTACTATTACCGTAAGGTCAGGTTTTCAATTTTTTATTTGCAGTCAGCCCTCGCTTTACGCGGTCCCTCTTTACGCATTTCCACGTTTACACGGTACCCTGCCAAAACCTGACAGCTCACTTTCCGCAGTGTGTGTACCCTTTTACGTGGAGAGCGGTGCGAGCAGGGTGCGCACAAGGTCGCCCAGTCATCAAAACATTACCGAGTTCTTCACCCGCCACCCACCACAGCCGGCCCAAGTCAATGATAGTGATAATGATAGTGAGGATATAGACTTATATGGACTTTGAGGGGTTTGACAAAGAGGCCCTGCAAGCCTCTGTGGTGGATAGTGATACAATTGATACAGGTGAGGGCCAATAATCTGCCCTCTGCCTCAGAACCAACCCCCCATCCCCGTGTGCCCAGCCATCTTTTCTACTAATGTGTTAAAAACCTAATATTATTGATGTTTCTCTTAATTATTAATTGTGTGTGCATACCATCATAAAATTATGAAGTTATTTTTACTACAACGTAGGTATTGTGTCTGAAAAAGTGGAGTTTGGGGGTCGGCCCGGTCTCTATTTCAATTAATCCCATATGTTATGTTGTTCACTTTACGCGGGCCGCCGTGGGTTGAATTAACCGCGTAAAGTGAGGGTTCACTGTATTTTTTTTTTACCCCACATTTCCCCTCTACTTCAAAGCCCTGTCCACTTTAAACAAGTAATAATGTTGGTAATTTTACTGATTAAAAGATTCGAAAAATAAAAATTTCCGACGGATATGCTACAGAAGAAAAGTGTCTTAGAACTGTCTAAACTACCGATTCCAAAACTTAAAACCCTAAAATTTGCTACATGACCAAAACAATAATTTTACCATATAAAGTTGCCACCTCTTTTAAGATATATACTTACTACAGTATAATGATAAGAACACCTGTGGAAAAAATGAACGAAATTGAACAACTCCTTCTGGTGGTAGAGGTGTTCTTGTAAATTACCATAGTTTGTTTTGACAAATTTACTTTCTCAAACTAGGTTTTTTGATCTGGACATAAAATAGGTACAGAATTACGGTAACCATACCTTCCTTCGTACATTCTCCTCCAGAGACTGGCTTGTTGTTTTTGATGATTTTGTGAATAAGCACATACTCATATCATCATCTTGGGATGCATATTTTTTTTTTTTTTTTAAATCATAGTCCACTGGCTAACCTCGGGTTTGGATACAAATATAGGTTTTTCGATGTTTTATGGTGTGTTTTACTAAATTCTGACCTTCATTTCTTGTGCAAATTAGCATTTTTTTTTAATTAACATTTTCATTTGTAACAAACTGCTAATTTGCACCATAAAAAGCCCCCTCTACCTAACCTAACCATTTTTGGGGAAATTATCTGCTACTGTGGTGGAAGATAGAGCTGAGCAATCTGGAATACATTTATGGTTACAGACAAAAAGAACTTTTGTCTTTTCTTAAAAGTAAACAATTTTCACACTTAGGACACAGTCTTGATGATGGTACAACGCTGTGATCTTGTAATACTGTATTTGGATTGCTTCACTGTCGTTCTCATAAACTCGCTGAATAAAAGCTAGATATGGGAGAGAACACTTATCACACGCCATCACGAGCCTTCAAAATTCGAAATTGCACAGTGGGAAATGATTGGCCAGCCAAGTCACGACACAATACTTGAAGGTCAATGGTTGTTATGTTGCACAGGAGGAGAGGACGAGAGAAGTGGCTCTGGCAACATGGCGGGTACAGAAATTTACGCCTGGAAATTTGTGAGATACTCCGTTAATATTGATTTGCACAAGAAATGATAAGAAGTCGTATGTTTTTTTTATAGTCTTTGTGTCTGTAATATTGAAAATTGGAAACCTGCGGACAGCCAATGGATGAATATTACCCTATTTTTATAAAACTTTTGTTGTTGTAATTAAATAACCACTTCATTAGCCCTCTTCTTTTCTTCATCTTTAGTTTTTATATTTACTGGCATGCTTGGTCTCAAAATGGTAATAAGGTTCAGGTCAGGTTGCATTACTGCAAGGTCAGGTTCTAATAGGTTCTGTGCATTGTCATTTTGATTTTATTACTTTTTCTTTTATTGGTTAATATAGAGGGCTAACCAGTGACCGAGTTATTTTTTATACTGTTTGCTATTTTCTTACAATATTTTCATCAGTGAGTTCTGATATGATAATCATTTACTGTGGAAATTGTTCATTTCATAGATAATTATTAGGCGCCTAAGCACACACTAGTTTATCTTGCGGACGGTAATGAGGTCATGCTCTGCTGAGAGGCTTTTCCCGCACCCGGGGCAGTTTGTTTTTCAGCATGTCATGTGAAGGTTGTCACCGATCTTACATGAACGTAATTTGTGAATTTAGGGATAATGACAACAAGACCCTTCAATTGTTTAAAGATCATGACATTGTTCCTTTACCTAGAGACCGTTTAATTTCTTTCATTATTTTCATCAGTGAGTTCTGATATGATAATCATTTATTGTGAAACCCGCCAACACAGTAAATCACTCCGTTGCCTGGGGTGCATAGCACCGATACTGCCATATCTCGCATCCAGAAAATGCCTCAAATTTCACCATATCATAGTAAGTTTTTTCTGTTTGACATACCGGGGGCTCCAGGGGGCGGAGCCCCCCAGTAAAGAAGTTAGGTAAGGCTAGGTAGGTTTGTTTGGTTAGGTTGGTTAGGTCTGTTTTCCATACTCACAAATGTTAAGTAACGTTTTTTTTAAATATCCAGTTTTTAACATATTTCCACAAACTACAACAGTGTTCACTATAATACAACAGTGAAAATCCCACGTTTTCATAATTTTTTCAATCAATTTCACTCACTGGTTAGTCCTATATAATTATCCTTTTATTTAACATTTTACAATTTACATACAGTTGAGTCTGGATTTACGCGGTTTTGGTTTACGCGTTTGGTCATTTACGCAGTGCCTTGCCAGAATTGAGATGCTTTAATTATGTGGTAAATTTGGTTATTTAAGCAGAGAGCGGCTGGCGGTCCAGCCTCGCCGCGCCATTTTGGATTCAAACCTCCTGCCATCTCCCGCCATGTTTGACCAAAGCGAGGGTAAGCGGTGCGAGTAAGGTTGCGCAGTATGTCGCTGTTGCGTTTTCGGTGACGTCATATGACGTATCGGATGTGATTGGACCACGCATCCTTACCTCCCTCCCCCGCTAGCTGTGATTGGTTCAATGTAATATGACGTGCCCTACCACCACAGAGAAGAAGCCGCTGACCTACCCGCGTCAGTCACTCCGTGTAAACTGTGTTCTATTGTGCCCACTAATCTCGTAAGAATGGCTTCCGCTGGACCCCCCCCACCACAGAAAAACCTTGCATTACCTGGACCCAGCCGCTCCAAGCCAAAGAAGATACGAAGTGCCCTAAGTTACAAAGTTAAGTACAAGATCGTACAAGAGTTAGAAAAAGGAATGAGGCAAGTTGATTTAGCGCGCCAGCATAGCGTGAATGAATCTACGATCCGGACGATCAAGAAGGATGCCGCCAAGATAAAAGAACATGTGAGCATCACAAAGTTTGCAAGTGCTTCAATGGTGAAGTACTGCCAAAACAAGGTGCTGTTCAAGACTGAGAATTTACTTGTGAGCTACTTGAATCGTCAGGCAAAACGGAACATGACGGTGGACACGCAGTCAGTTCAGGACTACGCACGTGAACTGTACCTAGCAGTGGCACGTAAGATGGGAATTGCAGAGCCCAAACCCTTCAATGCTTCCTCTGGGTGGCTGCAAGGGTTTAAGAAGAGGAACAAGATCACCAACATTAACATTGGTGGTGAAGGAGCGAGTGCTGACCGTGTTGCGGCTAGTGATTTTCCTACATTCTTACGTGACATTATGGAGGAAGGACAGTACACCGACGACCAGGTGTTCAACATGGATGAATCCGGTCTGTTTTGGAAAAAGCTACCTACCAAGACCTTCGTTGTCAAGTCTGCCAGCAATTGTGGAAAAGCTACCTACCAAGACCTTCGTTGTTAAGTCTGCCAGCAAGTGTCGGTGCCGGAAGTTGCAGGAGCGCATCACAGTCCTGTTTGCCACCAATGCCTCCGGTACCTGTAAGCTCAAGTTATCAATGATCCACACAGCACGCAAGCCGCACGCCTACAAGAATATGGACATAACCAAGCTAAATGTCCACTGGCTAACCGTACATAAGGCGTGGATGTTCACTGCTCTGTCCCTCTCCTGGTTTGACGACTGTTTCATTCCCAATGTCAAGAAATTCTGCGAGCAACAGAATGTTCCATTCAACATTTTGTTGCCCCTTGACAACGCACCAGGACACTCGCCCCTACTGTTGGATAGTCACCCCAACGTAAAAGTGGTCTTCCTTCCTCCCAACACTACGTCGTTAATCCAGCCCATGGACCAGTTGATATTCAACGTTAAGGCTGCATTCCCTACAAAGAAGTTTAAGCTCCTGAACGACTGTAACAACACCAAGGATGAGTTGCGTAACCTGGGTAACACTGATAGCGATAGCCAGAGCAACGACGAGGAACAAGAGTTGGCGGATCAAGAAGTTCATGTCAAACGGTTTTGGAAGAAATTTAACGTCAAGAAAGCTGTTGATTTCTTGGTGGAGGCATGGGGGCAGCTGCCTGTGGCAACGATTCGTCACACATGGCGGCATGTGTTGCAAGGTATCCCAGGTGGGAGGCAGAGTCAACCTGTGACTGGTGAGGTTTAGTCTGTTGCAGTGGCAGTGGACCTTGCAAGAGAAGCTGCGCAGAGTGTTACAGCTGCAGGCTTACCACCTACGACGACATTATGAAGGTAATAAGGGATCCTGAGGTGACTGCTGACGAGATGTTAGAAGACGATGACATCGGTGAAGAGGCAGGTGGTGCGTCATCCCGAGAAGAACACAACTTAACGCATGGTAATGTTAAGGATGCCATCGAGTTTGCAGAGAAACTCAAGCTCGTCCTTTCCAACGACCCTGACGATAACCGCTATGAAGTCTTCAATAACCAGCTGTTGCAGACTATGGAGCCGTACATCAAGGTGTATCAAGACCACATCAACACTAGCCGTCAGCGTAACATCACGGACTTCTTCGCCCGCAACCCACCACAGCCAGCCCAAGCCAGTGATAGTGACAGTAATGTTGACTTTGAGGGATTTGTCAGGGAGGCCCTGACAACTATGGTGGATAGTGATGGTGATTCACCTGAGGGCCAGTAATCTGCCCTCTGCCTCGGAACCAGCTCCCATCAACGTATGCCGACCCATCTCTTCTACTAACGTAAGTGCTCAACCTAACCTTGATTTTTTCTTACCTAACCTGACGTAAGTGTTAAACCTTGATTTTTCTTTTACCTGGTACAGTATATTATTCTCTTATTAATATTTCTCTTCTACATTATGTGTGTGTGAATACCATCATAAAGTTAAGATAATATATTTACTACAACGTACGAATTATCGGGAAAAAGTCGAGTTTGGGGGTCAGCCCAGTCTCTATTTCAATTAATCCCATATGTTCTGTTATTTCATTTACGCGTTTCTCGTTTTACGCGGGCCTCCATGGGGTCAATTGACCACGTAAATGAAGACCCAACTGTATTTTATTTTTAAGGTTCATCCAAACAACGGTATTTTTGCGTTTACACACCACACATTCCTACCACTAATCTATTATCATATTCGAATAAGACGTCTAATTATAAGATAATTTTCATCTATTACATTACCGGCGGAAATGTATAATAACGGAGAAACGTATCCAAAATTTTCTCTATTTTCTTCCATTAATCTTGCGCCATTATCGCCTACCTTACCTCCCACACTGCGTGTCTCCTTCATAAATCATCACGCGCATGCGTTCCCGTACATGTCATGCGGCCAATCAAAAGCGTTTTTGTTTTTGCAACCAAGTAAAATGATTTTGAGTTTAATTCGCAGTAGTTTTGGCCCAATCAAATTCGGTTTTATTTTGGGTCTCATATTTCGAAATTCAAATTCAGTTCCGACCATGGAAGTCTGCGATGGGTGTCACTTCAATTATATGAAGCTGATTGCGAGCTTTTGGGAAAAAAACGAAGAAACTATAGCATTTTTTCGATCGCATGGTGTTCTTCCAACCTTAGTAAAGTGTACTAAGAGCAAGACTGAATGTAAATATCGCAAATACCAACATATGTGGCATTGTGTAAGAATCTCAGAATCCAACGACGAACAAGAACCAGGCCATTAAGGTAAGAAATAAGTGATTCCATTATATGGTGAGTCGGTTAGGTTAGGTTAAGTTTGGGTTTTGTTTTTCTAGTGTTTTATGGTGTATTTTGCCATTATTTTTTTTTTCGGAAAACGTCCAACGAAAAAAACTCGATAAAAAACCCGGCTAATTTCCGCCAGAAATGAAGGTTATATTCGGTCTAAACACACATAAAAACACTAGAAAAAATATTTTTTACTTTCTAACAGTGTGGTGTGCAAGTGCAAATTTACCCAAACAACATCTCCTGAAAATTTTATGAAATACCATAGTCCTTCTGGTGCTAACCATCACATTCGCCATTACCCTAATTATTTTATTATCTTACACTTATCTGCATTATGAAACAGTCACATGGATTCCAACAACAATGTTGAATTTAAAATTCTATACACGCACTTTGCACAATTATAATTCTGAACCAGCAGGAGCAGCGTGGGTACCTATGTTAATACTTTCCACACATCTTCATGAAACCAAACTATTCCTTTGTGGGTAGATGAAGGAATTTGGGTCATTAGCACTAACTTTATTATTAAAGAGATCAACTGTGATGTTAACAGTTTCTTTTTTGAACATATATATATTAAACAATGGATGTAATGTAGCCAATATAATCGGTAAAATCCATTTAATTCAATGAAGTCACAAGTCCAAGTGAAATGGGAAATTCACTTTAAAACGTGTAGTGATAAAAACTTTATTTCATAAATTATCACAATGTATGAAGCTTTTTTTTACCAGATCTAGCAGAACTTAATTTACTGTTGATAACACTTGGAAATAATGTAGTGGACAATACTTACATTCGTGTGACAGCCGTACAGGAGCCACAGACAGACGTACAGGAGCCACAGACAGACGTACAGGAGCCACAGACAGACGTACAGGAGCCACACACAGACACGCACAGGAGCCACAGAAGACGTACAGGAGCCACAGACAGACGTACAGGAGCCACAGACAGACGTACAGGAGCCACAGTGTTGACGTTTGCATCAGCTGGTGAGGCGCATTTGACCACCAGTCACCACTCACTAATACGACCCTGTCACTCTGCAATCTGTCATTTAAATTTTATTCTCTGTTCAAAAAATAATAGAACGTATGGTCGATATTTTTTTAATGTAAGTAAATTAAAGACAGAATAACCGTTAAAAAAAATAGAAGGGTAAATAATTATCAGTTCTGGAGCTAACTTCATTCATAACTTATGTAAATAGTTGGTATGTCATAAGAAAAAACCTTCTTGCCAGGCAGTCTTTTTTTTTTTTAATGTGAATTTATTTCCGGAAGATTGACTGTTCAAGATTTTCACTTTTACTTTATCCTCCTCGTTCGCCACTTTGTTTAAGAGTTCACAATTCTCACTCAAGTCTTTAAGGCATAAAATATAGTATGATAAGAACTTCAGAGTAAAAGTAAGATTCGGTGAAGGAATAGAAGTTAATTGTAAAGTAAAATAATATAACCACTATGTACAGTAGTCTGCTTTTATTGCAGGTACCGTAGTGAAAAGGCGAGCAAGGGGTGACTCAAGAGCTACTAATTCGGTGTCATCCCACTTGAACGATCGTCTGTTTTATGCAATTTTTACGAGATTAGATTACTTTAAGTAGTATAAAACAGGCGATTGCCTAAGTGGAATGCAATCAACAAGTTATTCATTGTTATTAAACTGATTAGAACAATGGCCAAAGTGATCAAAGAACCGGTGGTTATTTGGCCGGATAGCGGTCAAATAGCCCCTGCCAAAAATAAAATGTATCCCTAACAATTTGGGTAAACTAATTTGCAAGATTTTGGGTAACTTTTGGACTATTTTGCAAAATTTTGACAACTTTTGCACTTTTTGCATCTTTTTTTTTACATTTTGGGCAACTTTTTTTGCACTTTTGCATTTTTGTTCACATTTTTTAACGTTTCTTGAAGTTTTGCAACATTTGGGGCAAATTTTCTTGCACTTTTTTGCAACACTTTGGGTAACTTTATTTTTAAAATTTGCAACAGTTTGGGCAAGCTTTTTGAAACTCTTGGGCAACTTTTTTTTTTTACTTTTTGCGACATTATGGGCAATTTTTTGCAATGTTACGGGCAGCATTTTTGCAACATTTTGAGCAGTTTTTTTTTTAATTTTTGCAACATTTTGGGCCTTTTTTTTTGCAATATAGGAAACATGAAAACACGAAGTTCCCAAGCGGTTTTGTGTAATTCACATCTTGAGGGGTGAGTATAGACTAAGGAGTAATTACTGACAAGGTTAATATACACAATAAAGGAGAGTGAGATTATAAGTCTTTTAAGGACAGTAGGTGCCCACCATATTAAGGTCATTAGGCAATGACCCAACCCTTTCACCTGGTTACATGCTATTACTCAAATTCATGTTGACAGATTCTGTATGTTTAATGAGACTAGATTCTATATTGCTCCTACTGACAATTTAATTACAAGGTAAGATTGAGGAGGCATTAGCCCAGTCAATGCAATGTTTATTTTCTCTCATATGAATGAACAAAGCATTTAATTCCTGGCCTGTCCTAACACTATATTTATGCTGCATAAGTCTAGTTATAAGATCTTTTCCCTTCTGGCCTAAGTAGAACATTTTACATTCCTTTCAAGGAACCTTGTAAATACAGCCACATACATTGTTGGGGGGAGTTCTTAATTAACATTTGTTTTACAACATGAATTACTAAACGTTAAATTTACGTTCCAGGTTTTCAATTGTAGAGGAATTTGAGTGAAATATTTGTTAAATAGTAATATCAATAAATTCTTAGTCATGGGGAGGTTTCGGATCAGTTCTATAAAAAGATTTCTTAGTGGTGTTAAGGCATTTGTCTATAAAATATCTAGGGTATTTTAAATTCAATCCAATATTATAGATATATTTATATTCCTCATCAATGAATTCCTGACTGCATATTTGTAGAGTTTGTAAAAACATTGCTGAGAATGCTGACTGTTTGACTATTATGGTGGGCAGACTGGTAATGAATATGTGAACACACATTAGTAGGTTTCCTTTAAACACTTAATTTAAAGGTGTTACCTACTCTGTGGATCAGACAGTCTGGAATTGTAATTTGCAGTCACTTTCTAATTCCAGTGAATTTGATCGAGGGGGCTAAGTTGTGGTAGAAAGGCTTTTAAGTCCTCATTACATAGCCAAAGACATTTACATCATCTACATATCAAAACCAAACTGCTGAAGGTGGTAAAATATTACTGAGTAATTTCTTCTAAAACAATTCCATATATAAGTTGCTCATCACTGGTGAAAGGGGATTACCCATCGACATACCAAATTTTTTAGCATAATATTCTCCATTGAATTGAAATTTCCAATCCTTAATACACAGTTTGACAAGATCAATGAAAACATTCTTTGCAACAGGCAAGGAAATATTCTCCAGGAAATCTGTGAGGAAAGTTGGGAATGTTGTACAGAAGCCGTAGCTACTTCACTCCCCAGCAGTTGCTTCAAGTATAAAAGGGATTCATTCATCCTAACTTGGAGTACTGCTCTCATATCTGGGGTGGCTCTTCTTCTTGTTCCAACTGTTAGATAGGGTGAAATCAAAGGCATTTCATCTTATTAACTCTCCTCCTTTAGTTGACAATCTTTCTTCCCTTTCTCTTTGCTGCAGCATTGCTTCACTCTCTCTTTTACAGGTACTTTAACAGGCAAAGTTTGGTGGATTTGGTATCCTGTGTACTGCCGGCAAGGCTGTGGGCTCATAACAAACACACGTCTTGCCTGCGGTGCCCACCGTTTCTCTGTGGATGTCGGTCACACTAGAATAACCCGTTATAGTGCATCCTTCTTTCCTCACACAGCCAAACTGTGGAATGCTCTACCTTCTTCTGTTTCCATACTCAAACAATCTTTCTCACTTTAAAAAGCTGGTTTTCCGGCATCTACATGGTGTAGATGAATATAACCTTTTCCTTTTCTATTCTTAATTTCTTTCTGTTCTTATTTTTTCGCCCCCTAGGCCCCGTTGTGGGTCGTTGACCTGTGCCCGGGTGGGCTAATCCCCATAAAAAAAAATCATCAATTGGGACCTTTGTAAAGAGTGATGTTACATCAGAACTAACCAGTTTAAAATCATAATTAATGCTTATCAACTAAATCCACATTACTCTTAATATTAGAGTTTGATATGTTGCCAACTAGACTAGAGGGTTTAGTAAAGAAACTAACCATTTAGACAACTTAAAAGTGATTGACCCAACTGAGCTAATAATGGGTCTTGCTGGGTTATTCAGCTAGTGAGTTTTGATTAGATCGTACATGTGTGGCAGTGAAGGGGACATTTGAAGAAAATTGTTTAATGAGATTATCTTAACCCCTGAAGATGTGAATTACACATAAGCACTTGGGAACTTCGTGTTTTCTTGTTTCCTATGTGGTTATCAGCATACTGTATGCTGTACATGGATCACGTGCACCTACAGTGATTTATTTGCATATACAGTAGTGTATATATATATACAGTATTACCCCGCTTTACACGGTTTCACTTTCCGTGATTTCTCATTTACGCGGTACCTTGCCAGAACCAGACTTTCACTTTCCGCGGTGCATCTACTCATATACGCGGTGAAGTATAATTTTTTTTTTTATTTAGCTCATAAAATTCATACAAATTACCCGGCCAGAATATAATTTACATTGCTGGAATTCTTACAAAATGATGATCATTTTGAATATAAACATCATGGATTTTGCATTAGACATACAAATTTTAGATCTAATGTAATAATTTGGTTTACACAAAGCAAATATTTTATCCTTTGTGCAGAATATATGAAGTTTACATTCAAAATATTCCCTGACCTGCAAGGAATCCAGAAATGTCAATTATATTATCCTAACTTTAGTCTGAGGTATTATTTATTACTAAACGTTAAAATCTAGTTTTCACCCAAACATTAATCAGAGAGGTAGGAGCTAGTGAGCTGGGAAGAGGGGGGGGGGATTTGAGTCCATTATTTGAATGGACATTAACCTGGCGACTGTATTTCTCTTAAATATTAATTGTGTGAGCATACCATCATAAAATTTAGATGTTATTTTTACTACAACATAGGTATTGTGTCAGAAAAAGTGGAGTTTGGGGGTCGGGCCAGCCTCTATTGGAATTAATCCCATATGTTCTGTTGTTCACTTTACGCGGTACCCTGTGGGTTCAATTGACCGCGTAAATCGGGGTACTACTGTATATATAATATATATATATATATATATGCAAGTAAATCACTGTAGGTGCGCGTGATCTAGGTATATGCTGATAACCACAGGTTATATATGCTGATAACCACAAGGAAACACGAAAACACGAAGATCCCAAGCACTTTCGTGTAATTCACATCTTCAGGGGTGAGTACAGACAAAGAAGAAATACTAGAGAAGGCTAAAGGCTAATATTGGACCCCTGCTGTCCCCTAGGGACTTGATCTCACTCTCTACTGTATATTTTAGCCTTGTCAAGTATTTCTTCTTAGTCTGTACACACCCCTGAAAATGTGAATTACTCGAAAGCGCTTGGGAACTTCGTGTTTTCTTGTTTCCTTGTGGTTATCAGCATATACTTGGATCACGCACACCTACAGTGATTTAGTTGCATATACAGTGATCCCTCGGTTAACGAACGCCTCGGTTAACGAATTACCTTCCATAAGAATCTTCAACTCGATTAACGAAAAAAAATTCGGTTAACGAAATCTTTACGAAATTGTGTTAGCATGTTTTCGCCTGCTCACCAGCTGGAGTATTAGTCCGCCAATACAGTGGTTTTAGGGCTTAAATTCGTTACCATTTGAGTAAATATCAAGAAGGTTGTACTATTCAATAATTTTCCAAGTCTTATATTAAATTTTTTAGTCATTTTAACAATTATTTAACATAATTGAAATACAAGGAACCAGTTTTTAGCACGCCAAACAGCCACTTGACTCACCCAGAATGGCGTCAGTTTGTGTCTGCTCAGTGGAGGAAGCATCTTGCTTGAGACTCTTTGAACAAAAACGATTTTTACGTTTTTACAGTACAATTATTGGTCATTCTGAAATTTATTTTACATATTGACAATATATAGTGCAGTGCAGTGTTGATTTAAAGAAAATAATCTTGAATTACACCAAGTGAACTTAAAATTTTATGGGTGAAATGGCAGCATGAAGCATGGGGTGATTTCTCCTCCACCCCCACTTCTAATTCCCATCATCATCAACCAGGAGCCTTCTATGTACATGCACACCTTAAAGTAAGTGTACTTTACTGCATTTATTTTTAGTTTGTATGTAATTTTCGGTGAGCTGGAACCAATTACCCAAAATCCCATTGAAACAATGGTTTCGGTTAATGAACGACCTTCTCGAACTACAATAATTGTGTTCGTTAACCGAGGGACCATATATATATATATATATATATATATATATATATATATATATATATATATATATATGCAAGTAAATCACTGGAGGTGCGCATGATCTAGGTATATGCTGATAACCCCTTTGTTGTTGATAGTATTTTTATTTATTTCTCACATTTCCTGGCGTGAGTTTAACGGAATTATTCTCAATTTAGCAAACTAGTTCACTAAATCAAGCGAAAAATAACAGAAATATGCCTTCCGCTAAATCAAGATTTCATTACATTCCATTCTGTAAAATCAAGAGTATGCTATACTACTGAGCATGCTGAGTCCACAATTTGATTGTGGGGCACAATAAATCATAACACACAAATTACAGGTTTAGATTTATTTCAAGTCCCCATTCACAGGGTCCTCTGCCTATATATAATGACACTGAAAAATGTATCAAAATAGGGTGGTACCCAGGCAGGCAACTCACACTCAACAATCCATGTACATACAGTGCCCTTGACTCTCATATTATATCACCTGAGGCTCATAATATTATATCAGTTATATAATATACAATATGTTTACTTCATTATCTCATTTTTAAACAACCTAATGAGAAATTAACTTTGTAGGTTAAAACAATAGCAAGGAGCACATGCACAGTGAATTCTATCTCTTAATGAAACTACCCATGTTCTTTCATAATCTGTACAAACAGTTTTGGAATCATGAAGGTTCCTTCAACTTTGTTCAGGGTTTCCCCTCAATAAGCAAGATAATGAGGAGGTTCATAGAATGTGATAACAAGGATGCTTTCTTTACTCGAGGGAAAATGAATATGACTGAACAAGTTGGCTGAGTGTATAGTGCACTGTGGTAGCTAAGTACAAAATGTTCAGGCAACTTTTTATTTGTTTGCTGGTTTTAGAAAATGATATATACAAATCCAATGAAAGGAAAGAAAGCACTTGCTCAAATAGTAACAATAATAAAAAAAAAAAAAAGGATAAAAAGTATATCTCCCCTTTGTGACTAGCTGAACCATAATTATGCAACAACCAAACCTGTACATTCTTAGCAAGTGGAATATAATTGGGTATGATACAGTCTGGTATACTGAGTGACCCTTAACCCCCATCAGCCAGTATGATGTAAAATTTACATCTAAAAAGATATAAAAACTACAGCCGACAAATTGGGTCAAAATTCACCTCCTTGGACTCCTGTGTACTATGTAGATTTTAGTATTTCAATTCCCCTGCTCTGACTGAGCCATGCAATTCTGTCTGCTGGTTTCACCAAAACTTAATTTTTAATACACAACTAACATACTCAGTAGTACTTATTATGTATTTAACAATTGATATATTTTAATTTTCTGAAATGCAAACAGAGTGAAATATACAGTATTTACCAAACCCACAGACATTTCATTATAAATATTAAATAGGATACATGAATTGCATTGTGACTCATATATTCTGAAAATAAGTTACTCATCAACTGTCAAGAACCAATAAACTAAGTATTTATTCCCATATATTGTAAATGCATAACAGTATCACTCTGGTTCACCTTCACCATAACAAAGGCAGCATTCAAAGTCCTTAACTAGTCCATCATTCAATTGTTACTAACAGCATATTTAGCTTATTCTCTCAAAATGTTCAACAAATGCATTTTTTTTTAATAATATACTGTAAAAGCCAAGTCATGGATCACTATTGTTGTAATATCCCAAAAGAATTTATTAATCATTTTAAGTTGATAAGCATTTACTCCTCTTACTAACAGCCAATAGTCAATAATTATAATAATCAGTAATTTTAATAACACATTGAAACTAATACTTGGAGAGCCAGTCTAAACCCAGTTGCAAGCCAATGGTATAGAGTTTTTGGCTGTAACATATGCATATAATATTTTTCTTAAGTGACAAAAGCCATAAAGTAAGCAGAGATTAACAGCTGACATACAGAGGTGGATCTTCAAAGCATTTCTTAGGTTTGCTTCACACCTGGTTCAAAATTCAAAATGAAGATTTTCAATATTATATTCCTTACATCTCTAAGGTTCTTTTTTAAATACCTTACAGATTATCCCTTTTCCTGTACAACTACAGCATACCATACTGACTCAACTCTTGATCCATCCCTGATATTGTCAGAATTGTATTGCCTATCTTCATAGCACGGCAAAGCCATCTTTTTTTTTATGTACATACTTGAATGCATTATTACCTATTAAAACGCCAGTAACAGGTAATGCGAGTGAGCAAAACTGGTTATGATAGTGGCTAGTTTTGAACATTAAGCAGAAAAATTTCAAGTACAGCAGCCAAACACCCTATACACATCATCTCGATAATAACAACATGATGGAATACAGACTCTTGTTATATACAGTACTGGCACAGGCCTAGCTTCTGAAGTACCACTTGACTTAGTTAATATTAGAAAACTTGAGCATCATATAATACAACATTGCATGTAACCTTGTAATTTTGTCATATTATTAAGGGATTTTTAAATACCTGTATCTGTTTAAAATTGCCTAATTACCCAAGTGTTATTTCAGAACCATGACCAAAAATGGCAAAAACAAAATTAATCAGGGAATAGGGGGAAATTAGGCCAAACACTCACTGCTACAATATGAAGGAGCCAAAGAGGGATATTCATGTGAGGTTTGATTTAATAAATTGGCAACATGTTTATAAAACCTTCCAAATTCCAACAATGAGAATCAATATGTAGGAGGAACTATCAATAGTAGGGCACTTTGAGGCACTAACATAATTAAGAGGAATACAAAGGCACATAATTAACAGTTGTTCCAAGAAATGAGTCAACATTCAACTACAAATGTGGAATGTACCCATATAAAACAGCCAAAACTAATCTTCAAAAAGTGCATAATAATCAAAGAACCACACCATTAAAGGTTACTCCTACAAATTCCTAAAGGAAACCTATAATTTACAAAAAAATACTTTCAGTTCTGAGACAAAAGCCACATATGGCCAAGGAGTTTCTTCTGGTATTAATGTACTACACAGCCTGGATAAAAACTTTCATTAATGAATAAAACTTCAAGGGTAGAATATCTACCTCTGCCCTCTGTCATAAGTGGCAACTAAGACAAGAAACTCGGATTTAATACCAACTTCCAGTCTTGACTGCCATCCATCAACTCCAATATACTGTATCCATTTAAGGATGACTACTTGATAATATCTGGAATAATTTAATACCATGTAAAATGTCAGGGAGGGGGGAGAAGTAATAAATAATCCATTTCCTTTCAGCTACAAAATGATGGTAATCTTAAGCATTCATGAGAGGAACTGTGGAGGTATAGAAGTGTTTTTTAAGATGACCACTATATAATTAAGATTTGTAAACTGTACATATAAAACTGTAGTAGTCAATCATAAGTTTGTTTAACAACAAAGCAACTTTAAATTCTTTAACAAGGTGTAAATGTATGATACAAGTATGTATGAGCTAATGCTCATAATTTAACCAAACAAAATAGATAGAAATTGCCTTTTAATGACCATGATAACTTTTGTCCAAGTTTATGTGTACACTATATATCTTTATTACCAGGATCATTTTAGTCCAACTTTGTCTTATGCTTCCACTATTTCTTTGTTAACAGAATTTTTAAGTTATTGAGGCTTGACAGCTTAGAGCATTTGAATTTAATTTCCCTGGTTAGTATCTACACAATATCACGGCATCCTGGTGTCAACATCACTTAGAAGAACCCTGCAATCTGCAAAGTCTAATGTTGAGAATTAGCAGTGAATTTCAGCTACTGGGCGAGTCCACATGATTATGGTTGGCTGTGGAGGATGTTGTGGTAATGGTAGTGGTGGTGGTAGAATCACTGGTAGAGTCACTGGTAGAGGACGTGGAGGCTGGCTGAGGAGGACAAAAAGCTCGAGCACGGGGATAAATGGCGTGGCACTGTGCTTTATAATGGCTAAGCTGCTCCGGAGTGGCCCCAAACTCACGTGATTCCATCCATTCTAATACTTGCTGCGTATTCTGTAGGTTAGAGGCATAAATGTAAATAATTACACTTACATATAATATTGTACAACCCCCAACAAAGTCCTGTCAGTCCTCTCTCCCATCCATGAACCATACCATGAGACTCGTGAACCTGTGAATCCGAAGCATCACACATGTTGGGTCTATAGAAAGCCCACTGTGTGATGTCTCAGATTCACATGTTCAGGAGTCTCATGGTTCATGGATGGGAGAGAGGACTGACAGGACTTTTTTGGGGGGTGTACATTCATTACACTGAAGAAACAATCAGTTTAACATTTTGGTTCAAAAATTATGCTAGACAAATTTGAAGGCTAGATTTGTATCACACTGAATAATTTGCCTTTTGTAATCAATATAAAACCATCTATGTTTGTAACAAGGTTCAAGGAACAGAGCAATGGAAATGTATACCATAATGGAAATTACAATTATTAATACATATGAAATTTTGTTTTATATCAGCATAGCCACTGATTTATATTCACTCACATAATCTCTATATCCTTTTCTCTGGTAGAGAGAAAAACAAAACAAAGCTTATTTATAACGGTTTGTACAAACAAAAGATAAGCACTTGACCACCAAGTGGTTTGGAATGAAGATATGATAAGGTATTAAGAGGGAGCCAATCTTTACTGTGTTCATAACATCCACAAAACCCGATGGATGGATGCATATGAACCCCTTCCCCACCCCGAATGGCAAAGGACAATTGAGGCGCTCCACGTCAGAAGGGGGTGAAACAACACCCCAGCCAAAATGCGCTTTTTGATGGATATCACTATTTTCACCCTTCCTCTACATGTTGGCGTTGGACGTAGCCATCTAGCAGCTAGAATAGAAATATGGTAGAAAGTCCTTCAAAAATAAGGTGTGATTTCGCCTCAGGCCTGGAGCTACGTATCTGGTTGTGCGCTCAGTGCAAGAAAGTGGCAACATCCCGTTCAGAGCGTGAGCCAATGACAGCGCGCCTTCCTCGGACCATACCCTCCGAGGAAGCCAATCACAATGGAGTTCTCCTTGCTACGTTACAGCTCCTCGGCCAATCCAGGCACCCAGATGCTGCCGCCTCCTTAGTTTTGGCTCATATTTTAACATCAGGAGGTCCAGTGTTTGTTCTACTGCTATTTTTTATAACTTTTTGGCGTAACATTGACGTTATTCGTGTTCCACAGGTGTGAGAAGTGCTGTGCAATATCTGCCCGATATTAGAGCAAGACTCGAGTGAGGCGAGGCGAGGCCTTCTGGTGTGGGTTCAGGAGCCCATTATTCCTGAGCGTGTGTTTGACGCCAGTGCTCACGTAGACACCCCAGTAATGCTTGGTGATAGTGATTTTGGTGGTGAATTTAGTGTTGATTATGGTGATACAGTACAAGTGCTACTGACGATGGTGCAGGTGACGTGCATGAGCTACTTGGTGATGTTGGTGGTGGTGGAGCACCACGTAATGCAGATTGCAGGGGTCAGGAGCGTACCCCCCAAGGCTCTATAGAAAAAAAAAGACAGGATGAGAGAGCGTAGGGTTGACGAGTGGACAAAGGAGGTTGCCAAGCGTAAACGGAATTTGGGTGAGGAGTATGTAAGTTACAGCACCAAGAAAGTAGTCAAGGCGAGGCAGGTCGGCATCACAACAAGAACATACAGACTGTGAGGAGGTAGAAGTGGACAGTGACGAGACATGCATTGACCTTGATAGTGATGAAAGTGAGCCTGACCCAACAAGTGCTAGTGAAAGTGAGCCCATACCTCAGTCTTATAATGAAACTGAACTGTTGCCGGCATCAATAATCAATGATTTAGTTGATGAAGAATCTGTGTGGCGATTTTTAGAGAGGGCAGAGAAAGACTTTGATCAGTACGTGATTGATTATGACGAGGCCATTAAAGTTATACTCACTCCTAGGTTTTACGTAACTTCAAGTTGCTACGATCTTCAGGGATAATAAAAAGAAGGAACTAAACAAAGTAATATTGTAATACTATTGTCATAATGCTGTTTTTACCAAAAATTATGCAAACTTTCTCCACCTTTGTATTCGTATGTTAATTACGTTGGGGGGGTAGAGGTTAATGGTGGGGGGGATGAGTGTAGTGGTGTTTCCTTATTATTACACACTATTATACTTAACACTATTATAAATCTTTGGCTAATAATAGGGACGGAAAGATAAATACTGATAAGCAAATGAGTTTTTTATTATTATTTAATTTTTGGGGGGAGAGTGTAAGATGAGTGCTGTTTTGGTGATCTTTAACTTGCTTTACAGTATTAGCCCACAATAATAAGAAAATTTTGCAGAAAAATGCAATTATTGTTGGTTTGCAGCTCAAACAACTGTACATCACGGGGAGTTATTCTCATTCAACTCACAATAAAATATGAATTATTCACGGTACTAACTTCCAGTTTTCACAGTTCGCAAGAAGAGGAATTGGGCTGCAAAAAAAAAAAAAAAAAAATTCTAGCTTAAAAAACCACAAAATTATGGTTGTTTGAACTTCGAAAAATTTTAAATGCGCCTTCTCAGCTTTTTTAATTTGGCACTTCACCCCCTTCTGATGCGGAGCACCTCAATTGTGGTCTAACATTAGTTTCTGCCTTAACTACTTAACACTGTTAAGCTTAAGCAGTTACTTGTAAACTTCTAATTGGAAAAAAAAATAATAAGAAATTTACTTTGATAAATACTAAAATATAATCAGACAGTTGGCTAACTTTAAATATTTTAGGGATATTTGCAATACAAAATTCACTAGCAATAACATGATGAGCACTTTTATAAATGATATATAGACAGGCTTCCCCTTACCTGATGAGTTCTGTCATGTAGATGTGAGTCAAGAATTGTTGCGATGGAAAGAGCACGTTCACGTTGTACACTATCTAGAAGCACCATTGAACGGGCAGCTGCAAATATAATTGATACTTCATTTTATTTATTGTATGAGTTACAATAGGGAATAGTTAATTGAAGAGAGATCACAAAATCTGGGTACTTTTTGAACATCCTTTATATTTAACCCTACTCCCCACATCACAAACACAATTTTAAAGATTTCATTGATAAAGGTCTTTCCTTGTTTCTTTTTAACCTATTGAGTATACTTGGGTCCTTCCAAAACATTCGTTATTCAAGGGTTTTGTACAGTAATGTGGTAATTTCCCACAATAATTTGAAGTGTAACTAAAGCTTTGTTTCTGCAACAACCATCAAACTTAGCCTAGCCACAGCTACATGGGGAAGAATGTTGTGCAAAACTTGTTGCATAGCATTAAAATATTGGCAAACCTTGTAGCCTATGTGGGAGAGACTCCTGGTTATTATTTAAGAAATCTTCATTGAGCTTGTTCGGTTCTGTTGTTGGGAGGAGTCGGGTCACTTCCCTGTTGATAACATCCACAATGGTCCCACATTGATTGGTAAGTTTATCTTGTCTATACTGCAAAAATCGTATCAAACACGTATGGAGTTCAGGGTTGGTAGGTTCCAGTTTTAGCGCCCTTTTTAATGCCTGAAATGAATAAAATCTAATTATACAACTATTACCAACATGAAGTCTCTGCAAAAGGTCCAAAATCATGTACAGAATACATATTGCTTAAGAGACTGAACAATTTTACAGAATGTAAACACTAACAACAAAAAGAGAATGAAAAGAGATAGATAACTAAGTGGTGGAGGCAAAGTCTCTACTGAAGAAGTGAGAAGGATGAACAAGCCTTGCTGGCTTATGAAGCAACCATTGGGCTACATATGTGGAACTACAGTATTATTCAACCCTGGTTTTGCTGGGAGACAAACTACATTGCAGCAAATAACAAAGTCTGGTTAGATAATGTATCATGCAGTTAAACAAGTCCAAGTCCCTTGAATAATAGCAAACTCTGCTAAGAGCATTTTAATGGTATGGATCTAACTTAATTTCTTATTAAGTGAATGTGGGTTATACAGGCCTAATGATCCATTAGGGAAAGTGTGGATACAGCACACCAAATACTAAGCTTTCAGTTCAAAGAAGGTAATGTGGCTTGCACTGCAACAGGTTACCTTCACTCCTCCATCTGTTAAGTTAGGTAGCCATTAACAGCTGGGTCATATGGGGTACTCCTGTCAAGAAGCAGTAACTCTTCAGATAAGAGACAAGTGATATATTTATTTGGCTGCTGCATCACTTTTTAAATAACATGCATTAAAGAAGGGTTAAGTTGCCCAGGAATTTATCATCATTTAAGTGTTCTTTCTCCCACTGATTGATGTCGTTTTGCCAGCACTGCAAAGATTAATATCTTGTATTTCTATCTATCATTGTATTCTGTTACAGCTACCTATTTCTACTTTTTCCCTATTCTGCATTAAAACTTTCTTCTTTATGATGTTTAGCTGATTTTTATAGACATTTGTATTTCTGGATGTAAATGACAAATTTTTATCTGTTTGTGGGGCAAACTAGAATGCAAAGATTGATAAATCTTTCCAATTCAGTTTATTGTTTTCTGGTTATCGGCAGGTCAACAGGTGTGGCTATGATTAGTAACATAATTAGACATGTCAGAGGACTATTGAGAGCATGTTACATGAGGAATATGATACAAGAAAGGTGAAAGTCAGGATACAGTTTACTAAAGACTACAGTAACTCAGATACAAAGGAAGGCAATGTGGCAGGCATTGCATTCCACAGCCTTTCATATCCACAGCTGTAAAGTTATGGACCCAATTATGCAACTGGGTCAATTGAGGTCACCCCACTCAGTAGCTGGCCATGGGACTCCTCCAACTGGAGTGCACTGGGTCAGGAAGTAATTATTATAATCACTTGGTCACTGGGGCCTATAATATATATAAATCAACAAACAAACAAAAAACTGCTTACCTGTAGCATGAGCAATGGTTTGCCTTTTCGCAGATATATTTCAAAGGCCATTAAGTGAGTTTGGATTCTATTGGGTGCTAAAGTTTGAAGTGGCTTCAAGAAGTGAATGGCTTCTCCTAGTGGATCTTCAGTTCGTTCCAACTTACTGGGGTCTAAATCTTCTGCAGGTTGATTATCTAGGTCATCCTGTAAATTGGTTATTATTCAATCAATTTAGTAACTAACTCAAAAAACTGTGTGAATATTTTTATCATAATTTAAGGTAGCCTGAGAGAAGGTCTTGCAATACTACAGTGCTTTATATATATATATATATATATATATATATATATATATATATATATATATATATATATATATATATATATATATATATATATATATATATATATATATATATATATATATATATATATATAATGACAAGTCAAGCAAATCAAACACAAAGACTTTTCAATTGCCATCATTCAATCCTTACTGCTACAAAATTTGTTCTGCTCTTATCTTTCCTTTCCAAAATAAGGCCCAAGTATCTGGTTTACCCCAGTTGCTTTGTACAAAGAATTTCAGGTACAATATTAAAATATTTTCTCAGGCAGGAGCAATTCTCAGATGAAACCTGTTCAAATCTTTTAAGCAAGAAGATGCACATATGGCACAAATGTGTTTCTACAGCTCTAAAAATATGTGCCGTATACTACACTGCACTGTACTGTACTAAGCAATGTTAAACAAAAATTTTTTTTTATTCAAAGTTACTATTGAACACTCTTGGGTTTGGATAGGTGCTCTCCCGCGAGACGCTTGAGATTGGGATCTGGCCTGTTACCCAACTCACCGCACTCGACTGTACCACAAGAGAGATAACTGTACGTAATGAGTCAGCACAAGCTTGCTATTTGAGATAAAAAGGTGGGATATGTTGCATTAGCATTGTAAATAAATTATCTACAAACAGTTTTATATAATTACTGTAATCATGATAAAATAATTATTTCTATATGTAAGCGCGAGTAGAACAAAAAATTTTTTTTACACTTAATGAAAATGTTTAATCATCACTTTATACTTTTGTTATTTCATGTGACTGCAATATGGACCTTATTCCATTATAAAGCATATATATTTAGGAAAACATTTTTATATAAGAAAAGTTGTGCAAAACTAAAGTTTGCTAGGGAGAGGCATCAGGAGGCACCATGCTATCTCCTTGCACTTTTTACATTTTCCCACCCTTCTACCCTCACCAGCAACACGAGGCATGGTTAAAACTCTCACAGCATTGTTATGAATAAATTGAATCACTGTGATGCACGAGAAATCAGCACAAGCCGCAAGAAAATGCGTGGGAAATATAGATCAGCATTATATCCTGGGTCCTTTAATCACAAAATGGAGACTGATGTGGTAACCTTGGAGTGCAGTCTACATAGTTGCCAGATTGCTCTGACATTGCTAAATGTGCATCTTGTGTGTCTAGTGTTCATACCGGTATACAAACATATTTTTTATTTTTATTTTTTATTTTTTTTTTACTTTTATGCAAGTTTGTGTATGAAAACCCTAAAGTGATAATTAAGATCTAATGCAATTTTGCATATGAAAACCCCCAGAGTGTTAATACAGCTATGAAAGTTTAATCATGAATAAGTACAGTACAGAAGAGTACCACATAATAGCAATTCAGCCACTCCTTGACTTACGACCTACTCGACATATGACCGCCCCAGTTGTACCAAAAAATTTTCAAATTACATATTTTCGAGTCCCGACGTTAGTGATTGCGCTGTGTACTGACAAAATTTTCGTTTGTAATTCCCTTTAAAATGGCTGGCATGCTTAAGAGTGAGAGTTTTGTGGTGCTGAGAAGAAAAAGAGACACCCATTTTAGATTTTCTATGTATTATCTTCGTATTTTCGACTTACGACCTGGATTTGGGTCCCTAACCCCGTCGTAAGTCGAGGAGTGGCTGAGCTGTACTATAAATAAATTTGTAGAAATTTTAGCAGTTGTATTTGTATTGTACACCCCCCCCTCAAGTATTGTTAGGTTTTCCATCGCTACAATTTGAAACCCTAAATAAAATGCTTTGATAAGATCTCCAGGGCATCATCATAAGTTGTACCGGTACACCTGCTCGCTATATCAGCAACTGCTGGAGATGTAGGTAGGACTGACGGAGGGGGTCGTCCTTGTATGGCATACTGAATACCTGTACTTCATATAACAAGAGATCCATTAAGCTATATTAATGTATGTACCGTGCTGGGTAGAAGCAAGGCATATGTAAACAAGCCATTGATTGATGATTATAATAACACTGAAATATACATTAAATGGAAATGTTTCGGAACATCATAACTAAGACAGACCTCAAAACTGACATTTCAAACATTATGTCATTGTACTAACAGAGTTTCATTCACACTGAGTTTCACGATATGTCTGATTTATGAAAAGTGACTAAGGAAATACTGTAGTACTTGATATTAGAATGAAAAGGTACAGCAATATACAATATACAGGTCTACATGGGATCTGTCATGTTACCAATACATGTACAGTATGTAAATTTCATCGGTTTAACACTAAAACAGGATTTCGAATTAAGGGGCTTGGTTTTAAGTTTCAGTGTGGCACCAGTTGTTTCATGGTGCCTAACCCATCGAGACACTGTGGGTTCGCTCAACCTAGTTCACCGTGTGTCTCAGCATTATTTGTACCCTCACTATGAAGGGCAACGATAGCACCTCTCACATCTTGTAATTTCTCCCCAATAATTCCTCCCTTCATTTGATTTAAGATCCCACTGATGACTGGCATGGTGTGGGTATCCATCTACAACATCCATTCCAAGTCATGTAATATATGATCTGATGCCTCGGAAGAATCACATTATTAAAACCCTTAAGCCCTGGGTGACTTCCAGAACGTCTGACTAGCGCGCCCCGGGTGACGTTCCAGAACGTCCGACTAGCGCGCGCTGGGTGACGTTCCAAAACGTCCGACTAGCGCGCACCGGGTGACGTTCCAGAACATCCGACTAGCGCGCCGCGGGTGATGTTCCAGAACGTCCGACCAGCGTGCGCCGGGTGACGTTACAGAACGTCCGCCTATTTTCCTGCCATTTTTTTTGTTATTTTTGGAAATGTCGATTTTTTTTTCTTGATTTAACCCCGCGTGGGGGGTACTGCCAGCAACACCCTAACCCGGGGCTTAAAGGTTAAAAACGTTTATACTCATTCATGCTCAAAGGTTGCAGATGTGGAACTACCAACAATTCACAAACAGGTCTAATAACAATGCTTGGAAACCCTCGAATCACATCAACCTCGTGGCTAACGATACTTTTGAGGGGGACTGTACTTCAATTTACTAAGCAAATACACTTACAACAATAATGGTTTTTTGGTTGATGGGTTATTCAAGCACATCTTTGTGTAAAGCTTACATGAAAATTTATACATTAGAGTTCAGCTTTCATGATTACTATTGTGAAAAGCAACCTCTGGAGTTCAAGTGGCTGGTGATGGCTGAAAGTTCAATTGGTAAAATGATCAGAAAAATAGTTCCCACATATATAGTAAAGGCGATGTTTTAATGGGTTTAATTTGTCTAAAGCATGTTAAATTTTCTCAAAAGAAAGCTTAGGCAATGTATGCCAATGTTCAAATTAACAGCTCCAAGAGGGATGCAGATACAACTATGAAATGACTTGTATACAAACATGTCTTGACATATGATCTTAAACAAAACAGCTTCTGGTATCTCCTGAGGTTTGAGTACAAATCAAGGCATGTAAAATATTTTGTAAAGTTATTAAAATTTTTTTAAAAATTTCAGGAAATATAGACCTTATATTTTCTCTTATACTTTACATATTTAAGGCAAACCCACATTTAGATGTAAGAGCAATCACTTAGAACTGTAGGAGTCCTAATGTATGCTGAAGATTTGCAAATTTAAATGGCAGACAATTTGATATTTTACTTTATGTAATTTCTTGGTAAATTTTTACAAGTGGAAAACCATGGATTTTTTGGGGCTGAGCAACACATTGCTCAATAACTAAAAAGCACCAAAACTCAAGTAACCTAACCTAACCTAACAAATCTAACCTAAGGTAACCTAACCTGTTGTGTTAGATTCGTTGGTTGTCTACTTGTAAAAAAAAAAATACCAATTTCTTTATTTGATACTAACCAGTGACACATAAACACAGTGAGAGCCTCAGACACACGCACAGTCAAGTCAGTAATAATTAACACTACTGGAGGAAGATCTGGACTCCAGGCCTGATGCCTCTGTCCAATACACACAACCTAAGTAACTGTGCTTACCGTATTTCCCCCGGATTTAGCTTTTTGGTGTTCTGCTTTCTTCTCCTCTTTCTTCTTTTCTTCAGCCTTGTTTTGTTCTGCCTTTTTGGCTGCTTTACGTTGCTTCGAACGCAACTTCTTGAGTTCTGCAGGGTCCATGTTCGCTGAAATATAATAAAAAATATGAGTACAGACATTTAAAAAATCTTTCAATCACACTTTGAAAACAGCAAATTATATATATATATATATATATATATATATATATATATATATATATATATATATATATATATATATATATATATATATATATATATATATATATATATATATATATATATATATATATATATATACAGTATGCTGATAACCACAAGGAAAAAGAAAACACGAAGTTCCCAAGCGCTTTCGTGTAATTCACATCTTCAGGGGTGAGTACAGACTAAGGAGAAGTACATAACAAGGCAAATATATATACAGTAGAGGAGGGTGAGATCAAGTCCCACAATAGTCAGGTTATTAGGTAGTGACCCTACTAATCTTCAAAAAGCACCGCAGCGTCGGTAGTCAGTCAGAGGGTAAGATGACCCAACCTTCTCACCTGGTTAAAAATCTTCTTAATTACAAATTATCCAGTTTGTACATACCATTACTCAAATTCATGTTGACGGATTCGGTATGTTTAATGAGACTGGATTCTATAATGTTCCTACTGTCAATTGAATTACAAGGTAATATTGAGGAGGCATTATCCCAGTCAATGCAATGCTTATTATTGAACAAACAGAGCATTGGATTCCTGGCCTGTCCTAACACTATATTTATGTTGTTTAAGTCTATTACAAGATCTTTACCTATCTGGCCTAAGTAAAACATATTACATTCCTTGCAAGGAACCTTGTAAAGCAGCTGCCTGCATTGTTTGGGGAGTTCTTGATTAACATTTGTTTTACAGTGATGAGTTTTTAAATGCCACATTGACGTTCCAGGTTTTTAGTTGTAAAGGAATTTGAGAGAAATTTTTGTGAAATGGTAATACAGTACTAAGAGATTCTTATGGTCATGGGTTGGCTTAGGATCGGTTCTATAAAAATATTTCTTAGTAATGTTAAGGCATTTGTCTATAAAAGACCTAGGGTACTTAAGGTTCAAGCCAATATTATAGATATATTTATATTCCTCATCAATGAATTCCGGACTGCAAATTCTCAAAGCATGTAAAAACACTGATGAAAATACTGACTGTTTGACTCTATTATGGTGGGCAGAATAATAATGAATGTATGAACACACATTAGTAGGTTTCCTATAAATACTGAACTTAAAGGTGTTACCTATTCTGTGGATCAGACAATCTAGGAATGGTAATTTGCAGTCATGCTCTAATTCCAGTGAATTTGATCGAGGGGGCTAAGTTGTTAAGTTGTGATAGAAAAGCTTTGAGGTCCTCATTACATGGCCAGAGACACATTACATCATCTACATATCTAAACTAGACTGCTGAGGGTGGTAAAATGTTGCTTAATAGTTTCTTCTAAAAAAAAAAAATCATATATAAGTTGCTTAATACTGGTGAAAGCGGATTACCCATTGCCATACCAATTTTTTTAGCATAATATTCTCCATTGAATTCAAATTTACAATCCTTAATACATTATACAAAAGCGCTTGGGAACTTCGTGTTTTCTTGTGGTTATCAGCATATACATTATACAGCATCTATCAAAAACAAAACTCAACCTCAATAAGTCAGAATAGTGACTATATATACTCCATATTCATTTACTTAGTAATAATACACCACACAAAACATGTGTAAGACATAAGGCTTGTACTGAATACAATATGAGGGGGAATTTCACTCATGCCTCCACACATTCATCCTGTCACTATGTCACTTGTCGATGAAATCCATGGCCCTTCAGGCACTTACGCCCTTAAATGCAATTGAAGTTGGTCATGGGCTAACACATCTCCCACTGCCAAGGTCAAACCCCTCACTGGGCTGGGACGTGAGTGATGAATAATTGCACTTCATCGTAAAAGGCGAATAATACACAAAATGTGTACTTTAAAATATTAAAAGTGCGCATAACCTTTCCTATGATAGCGCAAGCCATAGCATATAGTTGCCCGCGGGATCAACAGATGGCATTAGTGTGCAAGGCGTGGGAATAGATAACATTTGTGCCACTACAGCATGTTTTGTTGCTTTAATCTGTCTGTACATTGTCCTTATACATTTTTTTTACGGGACTAGCCCACACGGGCACAGGTCACTGACCCACATCGGGGCCTGGGGGGCGAAAATGTAATAATAATAATTCAGATAAGTAAAATTTATAATAAAAAAAATAACAATCAAATGTAATGATACCAATAATAATAAAAATAATAATAATAATAATAATAATAATAATGCAATAATAATAATAATAATAATAATAATAATAATAATGCAATAATAATAATAATAATAATGCAATAATAATAATAATAATAATAATAATGCAATAATAATGCAATAATAATAATAATAATAATAATAATAGTACTTGTGCATGGTTAGTAAGGATGTGCAATTTGTATACAAATGTGTGTTTTTGCGTGTTGTAAGTTGATTACATACAAGCAGCAGTGTGCAGCATTGCATTACAGTGTAGCGAGACTTTTTTATATGATTTTATTTTATTGGTTTTAGTGTTTGCGTTGCATGAAGGGCTGCTATATGGGGATTTGACTGTTTTTATATTTACATTATGCACTGCAATATAATATAGGTTAAAATGTTCTTATATAACAGTACAAATAGTTTTGATGTCACACTACGCTCTCAAATTATACAGTATCTGAATACTGTAATGAAATAAAATTATCAATTTGCCATACTGCACCTTTATTACCCTTCTCCAAGAGTTCTGTGCATTGAATATCTCTGCTTCTGCAGTCAGTGTGTGTGTGTGTGTGTGTGCAACTGTGCATGTGTACACATTAAGAACATCAAGGTAATCAGCTCACTCGGCTGGTTACCATGGAAACCTGGACACGCAACCCGGACTTTTAGCTAGTCGCGTTGCCAACAGAGGGCGTTGATCGGAGCTCAGTGACTCGCCTGTTTTATCGATAAAGGTGGACACTTTCCCGTCTTTCTTGTATAGTCTTTGCTGTCAACAAGAATACACCCACTAACATTTTCTCAGGAGCAGACGATGGTATCGGCTCCAATAGGATCAATTTTAACATCTTGGACATCATAACAAATTCTGAACAGTGCAGTGATATTATTTTTTTTACAGGCACTGATTTGGGTGCACGTGAATCATGCCGACCCGAGATACATAAGGGCACTAACACATGAACATACATCAAGTATATGAACGCATAACATGTAGATACACAAACACAAAAATACTGTATATAGTAAGTCACGAATCAACACATACGTATCTGCATAAACAGAAACACATAATGAGTCACACAGCAAATACAAACAAACAAAGAGTATAAAAACACAAACACAAGTTTTCACAGTTGAATTTAAACTAAATAATAATCAGCTTTAGATAAACTCCGAGAAAATTCCAGACTAGTGCACCGGGCCACACTGTAAAAACATATATCACGTTACAGGGTGGAGCCTAAGTCCCTTTACCAAGAACAACTGCAGATAGTTAAAAACATATTATAGAAAACACAATATGACTGTACAGTATTAGATCAGCTACTGCAGTTTTTAAGGAGAAAATCCCAGGAAATAGGCCAACAAAAAATTAATTACTCTTTTTGGAATAGCAAATTTTTATCTCGATAAAGGAAGGTCCGGATTCTCCACGATTCCTCCGTTATTATTTCTCCCTTACTGGAGGGTGGTGAGATAACATCTGGTTACGCTTGAGTCTCAGTGCTATTTTGGCAGCCAGTCTTGTGTTTAGCTTTCGTGAGACCGTAAGATGAGTTCTCACCTTAACAGTCCAGGAACACTAGAGACTAGTCACTAGTACTACAGCTGCTGCGGCGCTCACGGTCACTGATGTGGTGTATAATTGGCGGTGGCGCGATGTCGTCACCAGCGTGGACTGGCGGACAGGCAGGAGAACCTTAAGGAGGATATCCTGCTCTTGCAGGTTTGGATTCCTGACGGCGGGAATCCCTAGCCTCACGCTGGCCGGCCCAAAATACACACCCGAGTATGACTTTCCCAGTGCCGTTACGCCTCCATAGCCCGGTCAGTCACGCATCATTGGCATCAATATCCATTATACGTTACACTAAATATACATGACTACAAGAGTAATGATAATACAAGGCCGCCACCAACACAACACAACATCTTCCTTTTTTTTGTATACCTGAGTTACTATCCCAGTGTCCGGAGGTGTAGCTCAAAGTTATTGTAGTACCTATGTGTTTTTTGTACAAGTCTTTAAGAGTTCATCCAGTTAGTCCAGCTGGTTTAATAAACCACGGTCAAGTATTATTAAAATAACTTATAACTTAAGTAAAAAATAAATAAACAATGAGCTTTCTGAAGATAGAAAGGTATTTATAAAGAGAAGAGAACTTACGGAAGGTGTCTGGTTCGAGAATTTAAAGGATACGAGTTTTAGATGCAAAGAAATTTGTATAACTATTTTATAAACTTTGAAATAACACCGAATAGGGTAACGTAAAAACTACTAAAGAGTGTCTTGGGAAACTAGGCATTAATGATAAGTTAATTGAATCCTAAAACATCCTTCCTGGCATCAGAAATGTTCATTGTTAGTTAGGAACTAATATCAATTAGTTTAGGTTAGACAGTGAGTTAGGCTTGTACTATATGACATTTATCAATATATTTTATCCTATAGTTGTGAATAAAGAAGGAGTAAAAGTACTGTACATTATTACCAAAAGTAATATATGCAGATGTTAATGTTCCTACTGTAAACTGTGAAGAGGTACAGTATTAAACAAACTGGTCGAAAGACTGATGGGAAGTCGTAAATAAAACTCTAAATAAAAATTATGGTTGGTAGCAGTAAAAGGTCAATTGAAAGATATTAGTCAAGTTAAAGCGCTAGTGAATAATCTCAATGATCTGTTATAAAGGCCTATAATTCTAAGTGATAAAAATGCTACTGAAATGCGACGTACAACAGTCAGTATCGGTGAACAGACC